ATGATGGGGGGAGAGAGAGAGAGAGAGAGAAGGGGAGGGAGAGAGAGAGAAGGGGAGGGAGAGGATAGAAAAAGGACAGGCTTTTCAACTTTCACTGCAGCACTTAAGTGACCCCAGTGGTTCGGGCTATGCACTTTCTAAGAAGCTTAATAAAAACATCACATACTGTACATATTAGTTTTGTTTCGGTATCTCCCTTTGGGTTTCGCTTCCTCTCATCTCCCTCTTCTTGTTTCCTTGTCATTGCCGACAGAGAGGCTGCAGGAGCCAAGCTCACATTCCTGTGACCTTCATCCAATGCTAGGCCCAGTCTGTGGCGTCAAAGTAGGCCGGGCTAAAGCTACCTGCAGAGTACACGCTGAAACACAGCTGACTCCCCCCTGGCTGCCCACACCGTCTTTAGTGACAGTGTACACAAGTAAAAACAAAAAGGCGGCAAGGGCAAAAGAGCGAATGCACGGCGGTAGTGGTCACCTTAGTGATAAGCTCAAAGGCCTAGCATTGTCTAAGTGGTTTGCATGTTTTATTAACTTTTCCTTCCCCCCGGCGTGCCTACGATACAGAATGTGGCACAAATATTCAAATCGAATGCAGACAGCAGCCAACCCTGGGATTTGGCAGCAGTGGCTTCAACTTAAGAGTTATTTTTAGTTTCCCCTCTCTCAATCTTTCACGCTCTCTCTCTCTCTCTCTCTCTTTCCCCATTGGGACTTTGTTTTGTCAAAGGCACCAATGGAAACTTTCAATGAGGGAGCGAGTAAGGGGAGACAAAGCCAGTCAAAGCAGCAAGTGAGAGAAGAGTCACCCTCCAAAGACTCCATCAGAAGAGATCAGATCAAACGATTAGCCTCCGCTGTCCATGAAGCTGACAGTTTGTCCCATCTGGCACTGTCAGGGGGGGGGGGGGGGGGTCCCGAGGTCACTGAAACCAGCTGCACCTCCACCCCCGGGGACCCGCGACACCAACAACAACACTGAGAGATATGCTCACAGAGTTCTACAATGCACAACATCGCCTTTCAACGTGGATGCCATCTTTGGCTCCTAGCTCTGCGTCACTGTCTGGCGCTGGCGTGTAAACAAGGACGTCAGCGAGGGAAAAAAAAAAAAAAACGGAGTCCGAACCAACACCGTGAGCACTGCAGCCACAGGCCCCCAGGACATCAACACCACCAAGACAGTGAAGGACATCTGAGCACAGAGTCAGCATCTCGCAGCAACGCACTTAAGTAAGTGTTGACGTGAGTCAAAAGTCAAAACTAGTGGCAGCCAAAGGCAGACAGACTTAACTCTCTACTTTCAGAATTAAAAAGTATAGTACAGAATACAATAAACATACTTTTCAGTAAAAAAGCATCACTGATTTGCTGAAGCGACAACTGAAGGACATGGATGAGAGACACACACACACAACTCCAATGTTCCAAGGAGAGTACTACAGGACAGGAAAGGGAGGGGGTTGAGGATGGCTGTACAGGACAGACGGTCTCTCAACACTGCAGAGCAGAGAGAGACATCAGAAAGTCAACAGATGTGAAAAATGTATTCAGCACCTCAAAGCCTAACCAACTTGACAGGTCTTCTCTCAGTCGGAGTGTTTTCAGCAGTCAAACTTACCCCTGTGCCCTTCATGTTGAACGGTCTGCCGTGCTGGAGCGGAGCAGAATACATGGAAACAGATAACCCTGTTCAAGTCTCCTTGAGATCAACAGCAGCAGCAGCAGGAAGAAGAGGCACAGAGGTTGACAGAAAAAAAAAAACTCTCTCAAGCTCCTTCACTTCCTCCGGTCCCCTGATCGTATCAACAGACAAAAGGCACTCTGGCTCCACTGGACGGGTCTAAAAAACAAAAAAAAAAAAAAAAAGGCTCTCAGCCTGGACAGAGACGAGCAAAGCCCCCCCCCCTTATTCTACCCCCCCCCCTTCTCTCTCCCACTCTTCCTTTACACATTGCCCCGTATCCTTCAGCAGCCCCCCCCAACGTCCTCCTCCTGCCTAAACATGCAGCCCCGTCTGTCCTGTTTCTCTTCGGACCAAGTCCACTCAACTAGCTGACCTTCTCTCTTTCCTTTGCACTCTCTCACCCCTCTCCCCCTCTCTAGTCGTGACCCGTGCATTTGTCTTTGAGCTGACCCCTGGCCCGGCGCAGAGAAGAGGGGGCGAGAGGGAATAGAAAGCACAGCACAGCAGCAGGCAACAACACAACAGCAGGCAAACAGTACAGCGGCACTCCTGACTCTCAGACAAAAATCTCTAGCCTCCTTCCCCTTTAACATTCGAGAGTAATCAATCTAGCATGCTACTTGATACTCAAATCCCGCCTCACACCCGGCTCCCGCCTCACTCTCACACTTGCAACCAATGAGAAGACAAGATCCTCTTATGCCATTGGATGCTGCACACATCAATCGGCTCCGGCACATCCCCTGCTCCTCCCCTTTCCTCCGCTCAACCCCCTTTTACCAACAGCCAACTTCCTGCTCTAAGTTACCTTGAGCTGCAGGATAGGGGTCAGGGAAAATAAAAGAGGAAGAGAGAGCAGAGAAGAGAATAGGGGGGGAAAAGACTATTTAAAGTTGTGGAAAGCTCTTCGGGGATTGTGTGAGGGTGTGCTCGTGGTGGCTTGCCTCGGCATTGTTTGTCCTCGGGCGGTCCTTGCCTCTCCTGCTGCTGGACGGATGAGAAAGGTTCCGCGGTCTGCTCTCTGACAACTGCTCTCTGCTTATTTACAATGTCAAACTAAATGTCTCCCTCCGCCCCGCCTCCTCTCTGCCGCTACAGGCTGACAGCACCGTGATGCAGGCAGCCACGCTAGTCCTCACTGGCTAAAGCAAGTGCCAGAATGGATGCCGCATGTTGCATCCACATGATTTAAAGTACAAAAGCATACTAGGCAGACTCTCCGTCTCATACGTGTGCACAGGTGTACATGCGCACACACACGCACACTTTGTCCTTGCTTTCTCATTCATCCTTGCTCACAGTCACAGGTACACATAACACAAACATCTAGCCTATAACCAGCCAAAGTGTTATGAGATTCATTGTACATTCAGGTCACACCACCATCATTTGCACAAGTTATCAGTTAAAGGCACTCTATGGCCACTCGTCATTATTCGTTTAGAATATGAATTAGTTGAATATAATTGACTATATTCAACAAATGCTCATGACTCACAGGAACAATTAGTAAAATTGCAGCCACAACATTAATACAATGAAACTTTAATTATGGTGTCAGTCAAATTTACACAAATACTAATTAGGGCAAAAAAGATCATTGTCGAGCCTTTGTACAAGATGAAGAAGAATCCACTGACTGGTGAGCGAGCAGCCACGGTGGAGGAAAAAAAAGATTGCATTTGATTCCCGTCCTATTTGTGGATAAACAAGAATAAGATAGGGGTGAAAGTCTGTCAACAAAGACATTGTTGTCTTGACCCCAAAAAAAAAAAAAAAAAAAAAAAAAAAACTACACTCACAGCAACTTCCACAATTTAAACGTCATCAAAAACCCACGTCAGCAATGTCACACAATGCCCTTCTTGTTAACTCACCGCTGCGTAGTTTCTTCAACACCGTAACCTTTACTTTAGAGGGCCAAAGCATGACACTGCTGCTCATTTGGCCAACTCATCAACTGCATCAGTAATTGCACATCGAGTATGCAAACTCATTAAGACACATAAATGTTAGACACAAAGCGTTGAGAAGTGACAGAAATTGCAGGTGTGATGGTAATAAAACTGGGGCCAGAGTGCTTTTTACTGAAAACTCGTGCGAAGGATAGAGGTATGACCTGAAGCTTTATGCTGCAGTTTACTGCAAATCCCGACTGTAGTGAGGAACACAACGAGCTTAAGAGAGAGAAAAAGAGAGCAAACCTGCCCCATCAATGAAAAACCTAGAGGGGGAGGGGAACCGGAAGGATGGAGAAGGACAGAGAGGAGAGTTGTTCTAGGATGGGAGGGGTAGAACAAGTGGAGAGAGGGCGATAGAACAAGATAGAGACTCAAGAGAAACAAAGCCAAATGTTCCCTTTACTATTTTTGTGAGGAGCATGGGGACTAGAGCAGGTACTACAGCCATCCGGTTAATGATTAGAGCAGAGCCGCACAGATTAATCTCTTCAGCGGTTTTCTCTGTAGATGTATTCTGACTACCCAAAATGCCTCAGTGATGACACCTGGCAAGGTCACCGAGCAAATGAGACCTTCCCATGACCTGTGCTGCCCGTAGCGGGGACATATTTGCTCTCTCTGACGCTGTTTAGAGATAAACATACACCACCAGCCAGACCATAGGTTTCATAAACACACAGCACCCTGAGGATAGCCAGGCCAAGCCATGCATTTACCCATTAAGAGGCAAAAACACCTGCATGAATAAATGGTAAACTGACTGACTTTCTCACAGGTGACTCTCCCTCATCCAGTCATGTTAAATATAATGTGCCTGCTAGAAGTAAGAACGCAACAGATGAATACATTTACAAAACTAATCTGTACACAGCATTTGTCTATTCCGCTAAAAATTAATAGGAAATGCTGACGCACCTTAGAAATAATTATAATAACTGAGGCTATAGCAGAGGTGGTACTGTCTTCTTAATCTTTAACATAAAACAAATTGCTGGTATGCTAAAAGCATTTATTGAATTATCATTGATGAAAAAGTGCATGATGGGTGATTTAGTTTTTTTTTTAAATTGTGGCGTAATTTAAAACTCTTCTTTCATTATTTAAGCATTATAAAAGGGATTGTAAATAAATTTTCATCAACAACAGGACCGTAGCTTACGCTGATCTGATTAACAGTAAAGACACACTTGGCATTTGCATATAGATTGCACTTTGCATTTACACTGGGAGTAGAGCACCATTGCTCTTTAACGCCTTAGCTTCTCTCATGATGTTGCACTTAAACTGGGTCGCTACAGCAGACATTAGCCGGTGAGGACAAACAAAGCGGCTAGCAGGAGACATTAACCGATGTTACATCATAGGGCAGCAGACCGAATACAGGAGTTAATTACTAATAAGCACGTTACAATAAACTAGAAAGTTAAAATACACTGTAGAGCTAAACTGTGACATATCGGCTGCTAAAACACCAGCACATCAACGCTCGACATTTAGCACTAGCAGCTAACGGTATGATAACGTTAGTGAAGTTTATGTTAGCTTGTTGGAGATGCACACGTGTGATTGTTGTAGAGCTTAGGTGTTTAATTATAATAACCACTGGACAACGAGTCCTGCCATCAAGTGAAAGTTTGCAAGGCTTTCCGATGCTAGGAAGAAGCGGTCTAACCAATAAAGGCAACGTTTGGATCTGTCCTTCAGACCAATCAAACCTCGGACTAGATTCCACCAATCAAGGTTTTTAGGGCTAAGTTCGTTCTGCAACTGACGCCATTCGGGCTCCAGTTGAAATGGCCAATCCGTCTGATAAGAATGTAGACAGGAGCCAACATGGCGGACACAAAACATCAGTTTCCTGAGCACCCGTGATCCCTTTCAGCGGGCCACCAATAAGCGCCTCAGAGAGCGGGGAGGGAAATGGCGCCTATGTTCATCTTCCAAAACAACCGTCTATTGGTCAAGAACAGCACACGATAAAGAAGCCGAGTAATGGCTCAAACTTCCACCAGCCGGGCTCCTTTTCTTGTAAACGTCCTACGCACAAACGAATTTTAATTTCTTACTCACTTTGTTTTACGGGTTCGAAGTGAAGTCCGGGCTCAGCGTATTATTTATTTTATTTAGCTAGCAGGGGGAAACAAGATGGCTGCAACTCGAACCGGAAATAGTTGGACGCACGAACGTGATGACGTAGAAGTTACGTTCCCTTGGTTAATGGCGTCAGTCACCTACCGCACTTCATTAAATGTGCTAAATTGAAAGGGATATGGGCTTTAAAGTAAAGCATTATAGTAAAGTATTATTAGTCAAAATGAAACATAAGTGAACTAGTAAAAAATTAAAATGACTCATTTCTACATCAGCCAGTTGAGTAATACTCCAATTACACCATATGACCCGTGTGTAACAATGATAAAATAAAACATATGAATACCACTGCTGCTAATAATAACAATAACTAGAACAACTTTGACTGAATTATCAAAATAATTAAAAGTTTTCTTTCATTAAACTCCTACATTGGACCAGAAATTCACAAATGTCTGCAGGACATTAAAACACCAGCTGGGTTCAGTTAAAGGAAGTTGAATTTAATCAAATTTGCTGCAAAGTTATAGACTACTATTACAATAACAATATTCTAACTTGTTGCTGGTGATAACAGTAATATAAAGAATTTAAAGACATGACAGCCACAGTAGATAAATGTTTTAATGTTCACACTTAACTTAAAAACATTTTCAAGAACCAACGTTATAAATGTCTAAAGCAAAGAACACTTAAAAAACTGCAAGGAAGAGGGAAATTAAATTTTCAAACCAAAGCACCTCAGAAAATCTATAGATATCTATGTCTACATAACTTCTATGGAAATTATTTCCTTGCCACAAGTTCCAGGAGGGTGGAGGTGATTTTGTCCAGGTTCTTGGAGTACCGAAGGCCCATGTCCATCCCGTGTCCTCGTTCCATGCGGAGCGGAGGTGGAGAGGATTGGGAGTCCCTAAACTCCTCGGGAGCATGTGGGTAGTCTAGCGGGTGCATGGGTTCCTCAAATCTATCAGGATACCGTGCTGGCTCATCTGGATGGCTAGCATGTTGCGTCCTGGGCCACCCAAAAACCTCTGAAAGAAAAACAATAGGAAAATAACTTGCATGAAAGTAAGTGTAAAAATGCAGACCTATTTTGACAGAGGGAACCGGAAAACATAGTTTATTGATAATAAGTTATTACACAACGTGAAGTTCTTCCTTCCTATGCTTCAAATGACTTATATATAAATGTATACCTTCATAGCGTCTTCTGTTGGACTGTCCGGGCTCCCCGCGTACAGGGTGGTGGTATTCATTTAGCTGCTTTTCCGGTGTACGCTCATGCTGTCGCCAGCCTCTTCCTCTGTGATCTTCTTTAAAGTACAGGTCTTCTGGTCGTCTAAGGTCCGAGTCTTCTCTGTGGGTTGTGTCGTACTGATGTTTTGGAGACAGCTCAGGGTCCGGGCTAAAGCTGTTGTAGTTTTTGGAGATGGCTACTCGACCGTGGCTATTTTGCTGGAGCAACAAAAACATGTTTCTTTAAAGCTTTTAATCCAGCTTACTCTTGCTAGTTTCTCAACATTACCAGCCCTAGCTTTAATTCATGTGTAGTGCTTTGCGGGCAGAGAATTAAACGACACGTTTAGTTAGAAAGAGAGACATACCACAGCTTTCTCAGATTTTTTGGTCTTGAATTCTTTCAGAAGGTCGCAAAGTTTGTTCTTCAGGAAGTCCGCCTCATCTGTATTTTCGATTTCAATGTTTTTCTGGTGACAAGTGAAAAAGACAGTTAAGATGCCCCCCCGTTAATGAATGGCTGCACAACAAACACATGATTTGTGACATCATTGCTACGTTGCAGATACAAATATAAAATCTTACCAGCATATCGAAGACATCCCCTGACTCAGAGCCGTCTCTTTGGGAGCTTTCAGTATGACGCAGGCTCTAAACAAACACAACAGGTTTGACATCATTACAGCAGTTAAAGTTACATAAGTGAGTACATTTTCTAGATTAGTGAGCATTGTAACATTTGGGCAGGTTACTAGCTTATCAAAACAAATAGCCTAATGTGACTACCTGCGATTCCATGTATCGGTCAGGATGTTGTGTTCCATGGACGGGTCTAGGACGACCGCCAAACTTTGGATTTGGAGGTCCATACTCATCGCTGAACCTGCAAACATAAATCAAAACATGTCCAGAAAAATAATGTAAGACACAAAGCATTCAGTCAAACAATATAAAACATTTAAAAAAAAAAAAAAAAAGTTATCAGCCAGCCGGGTTCATGGAGAGCAATCTTTACAGAAAAACTACGAGGTACATTATCACTCACATCTCCTTCGTTGTTTCCGCCTCCTCTGCAGTGGCATCAGAGAAGCGGCTCTTTCTTTTTCTTTTACCGTGTCCCTCATCGTTAGCGGCCCCTTTCAGGAAACGCCTGAATGGCTCCGGGATGTCAGACATGGCCCTGGTAGCTTCCGCTTGCCTCTGGGAGGTAAGGGTTCCTGTTCTGCTCTGCCCAGGTTTGGCAACTGCCTCCTCTTGATATGGTTCTCTCATTTCGTGACGATAATCTCTGACGAAATGAAACAAGCGGCCTTCAGGCGTCTGGTCACTCACCATAGTTGTGGGAAAGCTCCTTCTCTTGGCCTCAGGTTCACTCGACCCCTGCCTGCCCGCTCCATTCATACTTTCACGTCTGCCAGACTCCCTGTCCAAGGAACACCGCCGCTCATCGTCTTCGGGGTGCACCGGCTGCGTGGGCGAGTACTCAGAACGAGCTCGCCCACGCCTCCTCACTTCCTCAGTGTAGAACTCCTTCAGTGGATCTCTTTCTGGGAAGGGCTTTCTGTACGGGGGAGACTTGTCTGGGTAATACTCTACATCCTGGGCCTGGCCATGGGGCATCTCCTGCCTTGACTCGTACCTGCGATCACCACCTGGCTCTGGTGCGGCTCTTCTTTGTGGATCTTCAACGTATTCCTCTTTATACTCTGTACGATAATCTGGGTCCCTATACTCTCGTCTGTACATATGACTTTCCCTGTGATCTGCCCTCTGCAGCTCCTCTTCCAGAGTGTCCTCCTGTGGGTACATCGGTCTGTCTCTGTCCAACATGTAGGTGTCTTCTGGACGGAATGGCGTTGTATCTGGGGGACACCTCCCTGGGTGAGAGTGCTCATCCCGATAGTCCATGAGGCCTGGCAGGAGTGACGGCACATTTCGTTGGGTCAAACTCTGTAAAATGTTCCGATCCCTATTTTGCTTCTGCCTTGGGGGAACTAGGGAAGAAGAGTAAACATACACTTAAAGTAAAAATATCAGGTACAGCATTGCTCATATGAGCTGTTGTTTTTTTTATTAGGTGACTTTGATGTATTACATCAGATTCTCTGAAAAGGATTAAAAGTATATTACAACAAAAATAACTCCCAAGTCACACCGTTTAGCACTGAATGAAATTCTGTAAAACACCCTGCTCAGTACATTTATAGTGTCAAAATAGCGCAAGTTAAATTATTACACAGAATTCACAGTAAGAATGTACCTCTTGAGGTGTTCAATCTGCCCTCTATCCCCTTTTTCGCCATTAGCTGAAACACAAAAAAAAGGAAACACAAACAACACGTTACTCTCAAAAAAGTACATTTAACATAATAATATTCAACATGTCTGGTTGCCGAGATCTGTGTGTCCCACCACTGGAGTTCCTCGTCCGTCCTGTCTCTCTATTATCTCTGCCCTGGCTCGTACGATCTTTCCTCCGTGGGTTATTATGGATTGTGAATTCCAGGTCACCAAGTCTGGCCGTTTCAGTTCCTACAAAAACACAAAAGGTAAAGCATTCCTCAATTTGTTTCGCCTTTTTTAATGAAAAAGTAAAAGCAAACACTGGCATGTTTGGAAAATATTCACAATGCTTTACCACATATTTCTGCCGGTGTTTACGTCCAATCACATGATGGACCATTTCCAGTAGGTTTGCCTTCTGGTGACAGAGCTTACATGTGTATTTGGGGCTTGCCTGTTGGTCATCACAAGGCAGTTCCTCCAAATAGTTCAAACCTAAGAAATAAAAGCAGAAAAAGGTAAATAGGATTTAAATGAACAAATAAAATATTGGACTTAAATGTTATCAAGTTATTCACCAATGATGGGCTCATCAAGCTTCATGTAATCCAGATATTGTACAATGTCCTCAATTTCCGGTATGCGGGGACGTCTGACAGCAAACCCTGAGAAACCCAAACACGTGTAGTTAGCAAAAGAAAACGTGACAACAAAGTGTTTCTTTTAAAGATAATACAATATATGCACAGTGCATGGTCTACTTTAAGGTAACTGTGAGGAACTTTTGACTGATAATGAAACAGTCTCTATTTAACAGTGGTGCTTCAATATGACCTTCATAATTAACCGAGACCATCAGCAAGAAGATTGGCTTTTATCCGTTTAGTTATTTGTAATGCTCATCATCCCTGTGAAATCGTGACAATTTTCCCGGAGAGTCCTTTATCTCGGCCTCCAGCAGCGACCAGGCCGCTGTGGACAGACCCAGATCCTTCTTCGCTGCCGCCTTCGACCTGCAGTCGGAACACCGGCGGGAGGAGAGCTCAGCGCACTGCAGCAGCGCCTCCTCCTCCTCCGACCAGGAGCAGAGACATAGACGCCACACTACTAGAGAACCAGGCCGTACAGCTGGGCCCACTGGGGTGAGGGGGGAACCAGGACTGAGCGGTGGCAGATTCTGCTGCAGTAATTTGGCAGGTTTTATAAAGGGAATCTGGTGCACTGCAACTTTTGTCCACAGGGACCACCAGATTCAACCCAAAACAAAAGTTCCTTGTAGCAGCTTTAAGTGTAAAAAGCGTTTTAGGTGTTGTTTATCTTACGTCACATCATTTGTGAGATGAACTTACTTTATCGGTTGGCTCACAGAACTGTACAAACACCAGTGGACTGCTCCAATCATCTTCCATGTAATTGAGTTGTTTAAGATGTAGCAACACCGTCACTGTATTTCAGTTCTAACCGTCTTTCGTGTTCACCTTGTTCCAGACCACCGCAGCCTTGAGGAGACGGAGGCTGAGTCAAATGGGATTTGTTGAGAACCGAGTTTGCAGAATACAACAGCAAATGCAGTTTCACTGCAGCTGCAGCCACAAAGTGTTGAATTCTCCACTTCACATACTGATGTCAGAAATCTGAATGCTGCAACAGAGTAACCATACATGGGGTTTTTTGTATGATCTCCAACACTTCACCTTTGAACACTTCGGTCTTCTGCTCTACTTACATCAGCAGAGAGGTCATCTCTCATGACTCTTTGGTGTTGCTGTGCGAATGTCTTCAGGTTCATGTTGACCAAGATGGTTTAAAAAAAAAAAAGAAAAAAAAAAAAAAGGTATACAAACGCTTACTTTGCAGGAAAAGAAAAATGCCTGAGGAGGCATTACTTCCTTGAACTACTGTGACATCTTAAAGACAAAAGCTGATAGATGCTGATGTTACCGAAATAACCAACATTAAAAAGGAAAAATTATTTTTCCTACCTCCAAAAATAGTGGCAGGAAAATGTGTATTTAGCTCAAGCATGAGCATGCCACAGCTCTTTGCTCGGTCTAAACAAACAGAAGTCCGCCTTTGTGTATTTGAGCATAAACCACATTCTCACACAGCTGAGAGTGGAACATACCTCCACAGGCGGCACACGAGCAAACGTGCACAGGAGTCGCTTGGAAACCGTTTTGTGGCCGTGTGTCTTATACATGCAACGAGCATGAACGTACTTTTTCTTTTCCATTTTGAACCCACCTCCAACCGAAAGTTGGATTCAACAATCAGCTTGTTAGATGTGTAGGCTTCACTGCAGGCCTCTGCTCGGAGGTGGCATGCAAGTGCCATTTCTGTTGACTCAAAGGACACCAGCAGAGGGCACACTCTCAGCTACGGGGGTCTTTATATATTTTCTCAAGAGGCCCACTTAAGAAAGTGAGGAGCATTCTCAGAGCCAACCAGTTGTGCCCACTGACTCCAAACCAGACCACACCACAGAAGAAGCCTCTGCCCAGATCAGCTCAAAGCGGCCAAAGCTCGGCTCTCCTTAAATCCCGAGTCCCTGACGCCTCTACATCTGAGGCTGCACAACCTAACTGTGCTGAACAACGGTCGAACATACACATGGCATGTACATGGACAATCTAACACTTGTGGAACACCTTATTCCAAAACCATTGGCATTAATCTGGCTCTCCATAACATTTTTCCCCCCCCAATTCAGCCACGAGAGCATAAGTGAGGTCGGCCGCTGATGTGCTTGGCAATGCGGCCTGGCTCGTAGTCTGCGTTCCCTTTCATCCTGGAGGTGTTCACTGGGGTACGATTAGGGCTTTGTGCAGGTTAGTCAAGATTCCCCTGAACAGGAATTAAGCCAAAGCATGAAAACTGCCGAGGGCAAAAAGCACACATCAAGTCGTGTAGACATTCTTTTGGCTGCACAGCATACAAATTCAAAAACCAGACTTTCAAGTTTCTATATCTGACAATAAAGTGCTTGCACACATTCTCACAGTAGGATACAGTCCAACCAAGGACATGTCCTTTGATTTGTTTTGAGTTCATAGTCATTCTTAGAGGATCACAGCCGTTGATGGATCTAGACCAAAATAGTCTCCATTACAACGAGGCAACGATCAGAGCGACCTCGGTTACCTTTGTGCCGTAATAGAACAGCAAATATACTCAAAGCCAGATTGGAAAAAAATGACAATGCTGAAGATGAAGTCTACTTACCCGAAGCAACAAGGACATCCTCTTTCTGCCGGGGACGAAAGGAGAGCAACAAAATTAAGTCAATCAGTGCCGGGTAAACAGGACACTGGTTCACCACTGCTACAAACAGAGAAAGGGTTATATCATTGGATGAATATATTCTCGAACAATTAAAACAACGGCTCACTTGAGGCGCAGTAAAGGTAGGCCTACGTATCCTCGTGAAGATGGATATCTATATGCGGAGAAGCAGTATCCAGTTTTCGTCAACACGACCAAAACACATGTTTGACCAATGTTCAAGCAACTTTTGCTTACGAGCGTAAGTGATTGCGTATTTGGCAGTGAGCTCTGCCAAAAACGGAGCTGACCACACGCCACTACTGCGTCTGAACTAAAGGGTGACAAGGGAACTTTCACTCCCATCCCACTCCCGCGGAAAAAAAAAAACCCGCAGTCCCGTCTAAAACCCATGACAGAGTAAAGAAATTCCAGCGTTATTGCTGTATTGTTATGATGATTCCGTTCCCGGCAGCGCAAATGACTTTTTTCACGTCCCAGGCATGAGATGAATCGTGAAATTAACTGACATCCCGCAGAACTCTTGAAAAGAATGTCAGCTTCTAGTCTGAATGCATCCAGTGGAGACAGTAGACACCGACAAAGGACTGAAGTTGCTGACAAGCTACTATAGCTAGATAGTGTGTGGACAATTAGTTAGCATCTGTTGTCAAAATATTGTTCTGCATTTCCTATTTGTACTCCAGGCCTGACTCCATCAGTGAGCAGTGGGAAAGAATTGAGTCGGAGGTCAGCTATCGAAGCTTCCCAACAACACATGAATCTTCAGAGTCGCTTGTGATTGGCTCCACTCGCGCAACATAAAACCGTCTAATGCAGACACATTATGGCATTTCCACTTGTTTTGTCTGGGAGTGCTGCAGCTTTTAGTGAACTAAAAGCCATAGAAGAAGATTTACAGAAAGTCCTCGGGCTGGTAAGTTTCTGGAGTGAGTTTTTCTGTACAAAGCAGGCAAAGAAAATTGCCAGAACATGTTTGTATTACAGTGCAGTGAGACAGAGGATTAAGCACATCCTCCATGTGACACCACGGAAAAGGACATTTGCCAACAGGTCTCTCACAAGAAGACGAAGACCATTTGACCAGGCTCCACTGAAGATAGTTATCAAGCTCAAATCAATCCAGTGTTCAGGCTTCATGGTTTGCCATGTGCAAACCATCAAAACCATTCCAGTGGTGTGGCTTGAGAGATGGATCCATGGCTATGAGTTGCGTTTACTGTCCACCTCAGAGCAAGAGAAATGCAGGTGGATTTATAGGTGATGACCTCCAAAAAACAGGAGACATTTTGTGATGCAAAGCACATCTTTCAAAAACAGGAAACCTGCTGCTTTTGTAAAAAAAAGAAAAAAAAAAAAAAAAAAAAAAAAGTTGTATCCATCACAATCGTCCACATGTGATGAGATAAAATAACAGAAATCAAGTCGTATAGGTCAGTCTGACTGCTTTCTCATGTGCCAATAACTTACTGCAAGGTGCACTCTACAAAGACATCGCACTCCTCCAAAATGACCTGGACAAAGTCTTCATAATGGTCAAAGACAAATGTTGGTAAGCATTCACTTTCCCTGTGAAGTAAGTAAGGTCACGGGATAAACCAGCAGGCAATACACGACAAATACAACACTGTCTTGAAAAGAAGTCCCCAGATGTTGCTGATGGCTTGGAAATGCTCCTTGTTTCCTGCTGGGAGTTTTATCTTGGACCTGTGGAAGACCTGTGACTGAATAAAAAGAGGCCATGGAACAAACACAAGTCACAGAAAAGGTGCTTACTGACCATTAACTTATTAGTTTATCACTGGGTGTTTAAGCTGCATTCAAATCAACAACACTTTCACAGACCGCACAGCTCTCTGCACCAGTAAACTGTGCTGTGTACCTTTCTATGTCCCGGTGTAGTCAGGTGTATCTTGTACAAGGTTTCACCCTTCATGAATTTATCACAGACCTGGATTCAAAGAGAGAAAACATAAATCAATCAGTATCACAGCTGCGTATGGTGGTATGATATACAGCCAGTTATATCATACACATATCCCAACTAAAGCAGACATTAGTCCATCTTTATAGCTGTAAATGAGGCGAATACAATATTAGAAACACGTGTTTGTACAAAGTCAATAGCAACACAAACTACAGCCACAACAGTAACCACTAAGGTGAATCTGCTGCATTAGCTACAGCTAACCTAGGTAGACCTGAGTGTAACGTAATGCTAGCTTACCGTGCATTGAACAAATGAGGACTCGTCTTCGTATGGTGTTTCGAAATTGTCCATTGTTGGATGTTTTACGGCTAGTGTTAACGTTGTCTTCGTTAGCTTAGCAAACGTTTATCATAACCAAGCTAACGCTAGCTAGTAGCTTAGCTAACGTGACGTTACTGGGAGCTAGCTAGCAATTCGCGCAGTTTAATCTTGCCAACACTTGCAAATTGGCGTTTATGTGGTTTGTACTGCATATGTTGTATGATCATCAGCTGTTTCTGTATTCATCAAGCGACGAAATTTATATAAAAAAAATGCTGCTGCTGATGGCTACTTCCTGTGTTTGTGCACATCTCTCCGTCGGAAACAAGAGCGACGTCGTTTTAGTTCCGCGACTGTTGATGGACGTCCGTTCACGCCCCCTGCTGGCCAGGACCAACACATGCGATCAAATCGAGTGGCTAGATACTGTATACTGCAGACAAGACTGCAAAGATTTGTACATTTTCCGTTTATTTGGTTCTAAGAAGAATTTGCTTTTAAATGTACAAAAACAACAGCTTAAGTCTGGCTTTGGAAACGAGGGGCACCTATCAAGCTGTGTGAGGCGTCTGCACAGCATTCAGTAGAGTTAAGGATAAATCTATGAAGCAGTGTGTGATACAGTAAACAAGACAACCGGCTCCTTCGGTCATTATGTCAGTACAGTGGAGGTCTGAGCAGCTTTAGACTACAGAGAGATAGCTCAGTAATTTGTCTGAATGACCATTTCACCACACGCCTCGTCGACAATGATACAAATCATTTACAGGTATAACTCCCATCATATTTACATGCAAATTTCAATATGTACATAGAACCATAACTTACAAACCCCTCGCAGAAAGAGGCTTTACGTAAATGATGATTACACATTTTGGTTTGCTTTCAGGGACATGGCTTACAGCTCAGCTTCAGAATATGGTTTCTTAAATTGTACATTCTCTTCAGAGGCCATTATCACACTGCATAAAAACAACGATATACAGCCAAGAGTTAGACAGATTAATTTACAGATATAGACTAGTAAAATAAACTTGCGAAAACAATCCAAAACACTGAAAATATTATAAATGATCACACTAGGGGGGGTATTCTCTGGTGCATTATCTTAAGTCACTATGAATACAAAAATATCACACCAGCATCACCGATGCCACTTTAAAGGGACCAAACCAAGAGGGGCTTGTTGTCTGACGAGTACGAATCTTAATTTTCAATGTACTGATAACATACAGCACAAAGATATGAACTCACAGACAGAAAAAGAAGACACTCTGTTCATGAAAGCCATGTGGATAAATAATATGTTAAAGACAGAATGAGAACGACAGGTCACCACACAGACACTTCCCAAAACCAAGAATATGGCAAAGTCACTGATCAAATGTCTAAGAGACAGGTTGAGATGTTGCAGAAGCAGGAGGGTCAGGTTATCCGGTCAGGAGGTGAAACTTTAGTCATTTGGAAGAGTTGTAGAGTCCTCCTGGAAGATTGTTCAGACGCGCACGCAGCTCCTTTCGGACCTGGGTCACCCTCGCCAGTTTGCGTTTGTATTCCTGAAAATGTGCACAGCAGAAAAAGGTTCATCAGCGCTCAAATATCTCATAGCTTGAATGAGTGACATTGTGATTTTTGAATTTTTCAAAGTCCCAAAAGCCATAGTGGACAGTTGTAAGGAATTGACATCATGTAATTAGAAAATGTGAATAAAAAGATATGAAGACCATTAAAAAAAAATAGAAGTAAGGTTATGTCATTGATATGATAACTTTGTATTGCATTGTGTAAAACAGAATGTGGTGTTAGTTAAAGGTCTAACGTAGTTTAATGACACAAAGTTTGGATTTCTGGCCAAATACATGTCGTCACTCACAGTTAAGTTGAATTTGAAAACACAAAAAGTTGTGCGAGCATATTAAACACATTTTTTTTAGCCATTAAGCCTGCAACCCATTTAACTCTTTCAAAACACCTGCATTTATTATGAGATTTTAAAAAAGAAAAAAGAAAGATGTATTACTAATTTTGCCACAGCTTCATGACTAACTTGCTACCCGGTTTACTTTCACCTCCATCTGTGAAACTTAAGTAAGATCATCAAAATAGAGACTAACTTTCTTCCCCCCCAATACACAAAGCAAAGAGGGTTCAAGTGTTTAGGTTTATTTTACTCTCTGTTCAAGACAACCAACAAATCTGCAGGGAAGCCATAGTGGCCGATTAGACTATAAGAGAATTCATGGCTGTGACGTAACAGGTCAGCCAGCAAAGCCACCTATATATTGTGTTTTACTCCTTAAAGACACAGTAACATGTAGTATCACTCAAAGGTGTCATATCTGCTGCATTGCATGTTTATTGTGTACGTTTACAGCTGATGCATGTAGGTGTGTTGTGCTTGAAAACACATTTCCTCACCAAATTTAGTGTGAGTCACACAAAAACAGGCACAATAATCCTGCCCTGTAACAAGATTCCTAAAAACCTTCTTTGTTTTGGTTTGACCTGTAATAACGTCGTAAGTTTTCCTCTATTTGAGCGATTGGATTTCTTATTGAATGGAGCTCAATTTAAGCTTGAATGTGAAGTTAACATTTACTGTGTCAATACTAGAAAGACAACAAATACTGTTATTATAGACCATCTCCACCAGGAGCTGCACATGTAACCGCAAAATAAAAGCACTCACAAAATCAGTTTTATTTTTTATTTTCAGTTTTTTTGTTTTTTTATTACAAAAGAGTTGACTGAGTGAAGATACAAATATGAAATGCTTTATCTTCTTGGTATCCTGTGGATAAAAGGCTGGACAGTTATTGTCACCACAAAAAAAGAATATTGCTAAGAGAGAAAAAAAAGAAAATATGTTGTTGAGTTTCTCCAAAATCAAGTGTTTTGGTTGATACTTACCTTAAGAGAAGGAAGTATACATTGAGTAAAGATTGAACCGGGTTAAATGACAGAGGCTAAAAGAAGAAGTACTTCCTTGTGAGAGGGGAAAATATTACAGTGAGTCCAAGTGTATCTCTCCTGTTTGTAAGGCCTGACAATCACATTAGAATCTACGGTCTGAAACCTAGAGTCTGACTCAGCAACATGACAGGCACTCTGCAGAAGTATGCAACATGCTGAAATACATGAAAACAAACGGTTATTCAAAAGAAGCTTGAGCACACAGCTACGCAAGACAGATGAACACCAGAAACAATAATGATGTGGCACAAAGGTGAGGTGGACAACAGACACACAGTAATCCAAAGAAAGAAAAGTGATTTACGCACTTCTAGTTTCTGCTCGTTCTGGGTCAGCCCGTCCTTCTGGCTTTGCAGGAAGACCGTAAGTGTGCGTGTGAGTTGCCTCCGATCATCGATCTCTGCCGCCAGGCGACCGCTGTAGTCCGCTAGCACCATGCAGGCCTCCTCCACCAGCCGGGAGAGACGCTCCCCCGACTCCTTATCTGAAGCACAGAGAGCACAAAGAGAGCATAACCAGTCTAGAGGGTTCAACTGGAGGCCATTCAGTCATCCGTCAATACTGGTACAGCGTAAAGAGCTACTGTGTACCCACTGGCGAATCAAACATGGTTTCCTGTGCTAGATGGTAGCCATTTTTATCTTTGTCCATTTTTATCTTTGTCCGTGTCCTGTTCAAGGGCACTTCAGTTTGTTTGTAACGTTTGTTTTTTTGGAGTGAAGGCTAGGCCGCTACACTCGGTATGCTCTTTAATGAACAGTGTGTCAAAGTGGTTCAATGATGTAGACGTGTTGTCTCAGCCTCCAGAAGATACGGGTTTCCATACAGATCATTGCAACACTTTTAAAAAGGTCCGGTGAACCATTTTGGAATATTTAGAAAAATCATCTACTGTTGAGGGATAGTTGGGCAATGAGAACAAATGAGTGAGCGGTGGAACATACGTGTGTGTGTGTGTGTGTGTGTGTGTGTACAATAGTGTCCTGCCTCCTACCTGTGATCCTGTGAAGTAGCGAGGTGTCTTGCACCTCAGCAGGAAGGGATGAGATGCGCTGACGCAGCACTGAGTCGCCAGAGGCGGCATTTTCCAGCTCCTGAAGAGCTCGGATTAACTCCGCTGTCTGAGGTAGCGGGAGGATGAGAAGCAGGGGAGCAAAGGAAGGAGAGATGTTAAGGAAGTATGGTAGATTTAGGAGTGAACATGAGTATGCGTCAAGTATGAGCAATATTAGAGGCAACAGAGAAAGGAAGTACTGCGATACAAATACATCCAGAGGCAGCTGCATCATTAAAAAGAGCCTCTAAAGGTTCACAGTGCATTTCATTAACACCCTGTATTTATGGCGACGCCGTTTGTTTAGGGAATCACCTGTGGGGGCTCAGCTGGGGAACTCTGGGAAGCAAAGTCCTCATCGTCTGGTCGGATCTCCTCATACGCCCTCTTCTTCGCCTTCTTTTCTCCATCTAGGGTTTAGAATAAAAGACAAACAGAGCTTTCCATGAGCGTCAGCTGCCAGCCAAACAGCCAGGTACTTTATTATATTCACTTTTGATTCTAATAAGATCGTTTTTTATTAATAATAAAACACTAAGCATGTACTTCTTACGACCACCAGCATCCACTTAAAAGAATGAGAGTATGATGGAGGAGAACCGTGCCATATGTATCAGTGGCACGTGCACGCTCAGCTAAACTGTTGTGTTCCTGCCGAGGAGGGGGGGGCACAGGCCGATGTCATATGAGGAAAACGTAGGCTACGGCTCAGCCTCACATTTGCCTGAAAGTTCACTGAAGTTTGACGGGATGTGAAGATGCAAACCAACCTGCTTTCACGTCATCGTAACATGAACTCACCCGGCACAAAAAAACGAATTTGCGTTCTGTTAACGCAGTAAAGCAGCATTACTTGGATTAATAACTGTAATCCCTTCAGCACTTCAGTAACGCGCCCAACGCTGGTATTAAGTAGCGTTAGTGTTGGGTGAACTTACAAAGGACTTGCGAGAGCTGATCCAGCAGGTTGCTCTCGTACACAGCTCTCTCCTGCCAGATAGACAAAACCCGACCTAGCTGCTTCTTATAGCCCTCCTCGCCATCTCTAGACAGGAAAACACAAGACAGGACATACAGCTGACATTTGGGCTGGACAATACAGGAAGAAAAAAAGATAAATTCTTCTTATTAATTCATAACGTGTTTAGGTTATTCCCATCCGGTGGTCCCAGAGATAATGAATCACATATTAAGCTGCAATTCTCGAGTGTTTACAAAATCCCTCTTGCATAAATCTGACTGCAAGTTCTTGTAGTGTTAATTTTGAAGTCAAAGTTGTGCATCAATATATTAAAAACAGTCACTACTTAATCAGGCTTGGGGAGTAACAGAATACATGGAATGGCATTACGTGATTAGGAAACAAAGTTTGATCAGATTACCGATACATTTAGCAAAACAGGGATTATAAACAGCATTACAATTTCAAAACGCATCTTAAAATACAGAACATTGTACAAGTACCATGCGCACACATTACAACATTTCACAACACTAGTCTCACAGAATGGACTCTAACTTAGTGAAAAACAATGCTTTCATTGGGTGGAAATGTTGCCGTTATTTTGTATGTAAAGCAGAAAAGGAGAACATCATCAGAGTACAGCACAAGCTAGCACAAAGTGATGTTGTATATTATATTCTGCTTATCAAAATGTTGGCGATATTTCTGCATTTTACTTTTCTCTCATCTTAATTTGCATGTTTGGTATTGAGGTAAGTAATCAAGTGATTTCCCTTTACCATTGTGATACTTGGATTAGGTTACTGACTACAACATGTACTATGACCCTGTACTTAAACAACAGACAAACAATAGAAAAACACACATTACACAGTCCTAAATGACGTAGAAAATCTGACCTGTACACATGTTTGAACGCATCGACGATGACCGGTGCAAAGTCCTGTGTGAACTCCGGTCCTTTCTTCTTGCTGTTCTGAATGACGTCATTGGCCAAGTAAACGAAGGTCAGCTTGCGTGACACCTGAGCTGCATACATTCAAATGAACACACACACACACACATATTAAAGTGAGGCCTTTGGTAATGATTTACACCACTGAACGTTAAGCCCAGCGGTAGGTCAATACCCTGCTGAAGATTATACTACAGATTATCGATTTCATTCTTCATGAAATGATTACAAGAAGAAAAATACCAAATTGTAAATCCAAAGCCATGTTTTTCCCACCAAGTCAGACTATTGTGTATTTAAGTTACTCTTCCATGTATCAAACCCAGCACATCACATCACACTCACAGCGATCAGTCACAGCTAAGAACTAAATTTGTCCGGCAACAACCGTTAACTCACACAGGTTGTGAAAGAATTCAATTCCACGTGTAATTTGTCTTTTCTTCACTCTAACCACGCGGCTTGTTGCGTTTGTGTTTTATCCACCAACATGTTCCTCATGGCACAGTCACGTTATCATGGTGCATCTCTTTGTTGTTTTTGGAATGGTGACAAGTCAACACTGAGCCGAGCGTAAAGCTCAAGAGGAATGTGCCGTCACTGTCCCCGTTGCTATTAACACGGCACACACCTTCAGGTCCTCAGACACGTTCCGAAAATACAAACAAGCTCCTGAGATATCATTAGGCTGGTGAACAGCACCCTAAAGGAAACGTGGGCCAGTAATAGCTACCACTAGAGTAATACCACACAGCCAGACAATATGCTTCTTAAAACTAATTTTAAAAAATATTCACAAAAAATCTACTATGTACTTTTACTGTAACTGCATCAACTAAATACATTTGTGAACCCGCTAACTTCAACTGTAATGATCCGATGTGGATTAGTCTGATTACAGTAGTCGCTTTGATGGCACCTTGATGCAAAATAACAATAATAATAACGTGTTATAAATCCATAGGACACCATTACATTATAGTTACACAGCAATGTTCAACACATTCAGGATCATCTTTTCTGCAGTGAAAGGTGAAAGAAGCGTTTTCAATTCTGTGATGTTTTATAAACTATTATAGTGACAATAAGCCAAAAATAAAATGATATATTGAATATCGAATTGACACAGGAGTTTATTATTCAGTGACTCTCAAAGAAATAAGAAAAATAAAGCGTGTTGCTGCCTTAAAAGGTAGGGTTGGTAATCGTAAAAAACATTTTTGATATTTCTGTTGAATATCTCTTCACATCCCAACAGCAATCAATGAATAAACATTATTTTATTTTCATTTACACTAACTGCTGCCTAAGCCTTTGAGTATCACACTGACTGAACTTCAGTGTATCTTGTATCCTTAACAGCATCAGTGGAACACTTGAAGCCTTCGGGGGATCCAAAGTTGAACTTTAGTCAAATGTGTGTGTCAGTGCTTGAGAGTAGAATGAGTGAGAAAGAAATTAGGAAACAAAATGATTGAGAAACCACCTTTTGGTCTAGCTTAAGTTTTTTTACATACCAGAAGAAATGCAAGTCCATCCCAGCAGCGACAAATAGCAGCAGCTAGAATACGTTACTAAGTAGAGGGAGCATCATTGGCCACATGAATTTGAGGTTGAAGTCATTGATTAACTGACCTATTTCTGGTGATCAGTGTTTAACTCACGGATGAATGATGTCGATGTAGGGTGAACATGAACCTAATAATGCAATCTAATAATATAACCACTCTCTTTTAGTCCTGAGAGAAATCTACCTCATCTGTTAACTGCTCCATCGTGTTCACCAGCGAGCCCCCAGCTGTGTCTGTCTGCTGTGAGGTATACCGTGGGACGTTTAGAGACTTTTAATTTATAACAGCTGACTACTGCATCCAAAAACAGTGCTATTAAAGCAAAACAATGAGCTGAAACTCACTAGACAGATTCATAGAGTGGAGGGGAGCTGATTCTCAGCAGGTGCATCTCTACAAGCAATCACCTTTCAAATTCATGAAGTTGTTCACAAACTGTCTTATTTTCTTGCATAAAATAAATCAATTATAACCTTTAAGCTGCATGAATTGATTTGTTGTACACTTGGTGGCAGTAGAACAAGCTGTAAACACAACATTGACATATTATCACCTTTCAAAAGATACTTACACATCCCACAGATGTGGAGCAACATCAGCATTAACGTGGAGTCTTGGTAGTGAACACCTGGATGCTCTGATTTGGTCTCCCAACTCTTTGCCTCTTTGAGCTCTTCAGCTGCTAAATGCTCCACCATGTTCACCAGCTAATCATTAACATTATCAGTCTGCCACGTGGTGCCGCAATAACAGAATTAAGGGCTTTTAATATCTGAATTAAAGGTCACCTTTGACCGTGAGGTATCTTATGGAGGCCTTGTGTCAGGGCTAAACTATGTGTGCTGTCATCTTGTTTACCAGTGCTAACGTGGCTAGCGTTAGCAGTAACTGAGCTAACAACGACACCATGCCCAACAGCTTTAAAGTGAGCTATGATAACATTAGCTGGACATGAACAATAACGCTTTAGCCACACAGCTATCCAGCTCCTGCAGCCAGAGGCTACACTCAACTTAAGTTATTAGTGTGGTTCTTTATTGTGGGGGAACTAGCTAAACTGTTAGCTTTTGTCGACCTTACCTTTCTTCAGTTCGTTGATCCAAACACCGACAATGGTCCTCGAGTGTTTTCTGTGATGAATGAGCCACAACGACAACGTCTGCACACTTTGCTGCGAGTTGCTGAGCTCGGACAGTTTCTTTTCTAGAGCCGCCTCAGAGAAAGCTGACATCTTGACGAGTAGATTAGATCTACGACACTGGGAGAGGTTTTACGGCTTTACTGTTTCTCCCAGATGTGTTATCTACAGCCAGTTAGCCAGTCACTAACGTCACATGCATTTTAGCCCCATCCAAATTAAATGTAAAACGCTGCCTCCCCTAAGCAAAGACTGGTTTGTTAATGCTAACTAGTTAGAGTTGAGGTGAAGCTGCCTTTCGGGTTTAGCTAGGGACAAACCACAGCACTTGAACGCAGCCTGCAGGAGCTGCTTCCGCACGCTGCGTTCAAGTCCGATGGAATTTACAGATGTAATGATGATAATCCAACTGGCAGCTATTTATAATATGAATGAGCGTTGTTAAAAGGTCGTGGTTTACTACTGGTTTGCAGCACACAGACCACTGGTTACTGGGTGTACACGTGTGTGGTTCCCACTCATATCTGACAACGAAATTATTTGTTGAATTTGACTGCGTTGAGATTTTGCAGAGGCTTACATCTATCCTAGTTAACTTTCCTCACCCTTCATAATGTGAAGTTTGATTTAAAATCTTACATTTAAACAGAAGTTCACAAAATATGTTTTGCACCACAGCTCTGGACATGTGCATTGTTACAGTAGCTGCTGCTATCTTAAGCATACAGTACATACTTATATAATATGTACATATATGTATTTATGTTACCTAACCATATGATGTCAACTGATGACCGCAAAAAAAAACAGTCATCCAAAACAAACTGAAAAAATACACTCAAGCACAAACCTAAAGTAGGCCATCAACGCTTTAATGAATTGAAAGTTATTCACACAGCTTGAACATAATGCCGTCACATTGACACGATGGTGTAAAAGAAATAGAAAATGTAGATATTAGTATCATTTGTAATTTAACATATATAGTTCATTTAGTGACAACTATAAACCAGAACCTGTGTGATCTGAAACCTTTAGATTTTCTGTTGTTGCTCTGAACCTATACAATATTAATATTATTCTCACAACAAAAACATCGGCTATCATCATCATCAATATCCTTAACAGATACACTTTTGCTTAAAACCTAAATGGTCAAACACATCCAAGAAAATATGTCACAATCTAGGCTCGTTTCAGTTTGGATGTACACATTCGTATCCGATTTTAAAAGTGGATGAAAGAAAATGCAAAATCAACATAAGTTTAACACAAAATAAAACAAAACAAAACAATACTTTGTCATATGAATAACGTTGAGAATGAAAGGGGCCAAAGCACACAGACCTCAGAGGCTATGAAGGTTGTATCACTACAGGAGAAACATCCGTCCATTAGGAGGTTCCCATTTCTGACAGAGACCATTTCTTTTAGAGGAACATAAAAATATGCCACGGCACAATTAGAAACCAGTGCCTTCAGTGTGGCAACATAAGCAGAATTAAACGTGGGCTCTCCAGACATAAATGGGATTTGCTCAATTTTGAGCTTCCAGAAATCATCAAATCATGACCAATGGTGAACTCCCGTGTACGTTGGCCATCGTCTCTGTTCAATCTCATGAAACGGTGCGGCAGGCTGCGGTGCAACGCCGCCCCAGTGAGTGAAGGGACCTCCTAAGCAAGGATGACTGTTGACCCAAGCAGCACCTGACTGAGCAGCATATTCACCAGAATAACTGTGCTGTCCCGCACCGCCGGCCAGAAGACCTGCATGGCCTTGTGCCATGGACGGATTTTGTTGGAGCTGTTGGTAGTAATAATGTTGCGCCATAACATCAGAGTTCATTTCGTGTCCTTCTCCTGACGCTCTTGTGCCGACGTTCCCCTGTGAAGCTGAATTGTACCACTGGTCGGTGCAGCTCGTCTCTCCTCCGTAGTGAGAGTAACAAGAGGACAAGTCCTGAGCGTAGGAGACAGCAGGTGGCCGCCACTCCGTTTGTGTCTGTGGGCCTTCGTTGTAAAACCTCTCACTTGACCTTTCTTCATAACCATGTTGTCCGGCACAGCTATTTTCCCCATAAACCTTTTGGTGTTTCATTGCAGTCGAGTCTTCTGACCGGTTGAAGTGTTCATTGTCATTGAAATAAGCATCCGCCTCTTGATTCAGAGTGACCGTGACGTTTCTTTCTGGTTCCACGTATTGACCGGCATCTGCATCTCCACCATGGAGGCCGTGCTGATGTTGTGAGGTGTGTTCGGCGTGGTCAGTTTCAAACAATCCCGTGTCATAGTCCAACTCACAGCCCTCTGACGGGGACTCTGGCAAGGGAGTGAGATCTAAGTCGGAGTAAGCATGAGACACGGGGAGGCGGTCCATGCTGAAAGAGGTCCTCTCCAGCAGCATTGCACCTCTGGTGAGAGGCAGGCTTACATTGAACACAGGATTAGTCCCTTTCCTCTTTTTCCTCTTAGCCGGCAAAGTTTTTGGCCACTGTGACAGTGGCGCGGCACATTTTTCTGGCATGACTTCATTTGAAGACTTGTTCACACTTGGCCCTTTAAAGACAAAGTGTAAATTCGACCCGCAGAACTTGAAAAACAACAAGAAATTACAAACAAAAATGTTGAATTGCTGAGAGACAGAACAGAGTTTTCATCCCCTTCGAGTGAACTGTTGCTTCCGAAGACACAAACCTTTGACGGCTATTTTCCGCTTTTGGATGTCAGTATGTGCCCATCTATTACACAACATCTTTATGCCTGTGAAAGAAGAAAACAATTCAAAGGGTATACAAACCACCCACAAGTCTTTGCACTAAAAATGCACTGGATGAAAGAATAAGTAAGGAGTTCAGAAAAATGTGTTTAAATGCTGAAAAAGAAACATTGATGTGGTTGAACACAGGTAAAATAAGAGACTACAGCGGCATAAAGAGAACTACAAAGAATGGAGAAGACAGAGAATAACACAACAGTTGTTAATGCAAGTTAAAAAGTTTAACAAAGTATAAATTGCTCTCAAAACTCACTCCTCCCTATACTATAAAAGATGTCCATAAAAGTTTCTACTTTGCTCCGTGGTGGAGAACAGAGGCTGTGGTCACCTTGGATTTGGGTGATTACTGCAGGGCGGAGTCTCAATGAAGTGTTGTACTTACTTCACAAATCACTCATCGTGAGCAGAGAGCTGGAGCTAAAGAGGTGAATTGGTTTATGACAGTGGATGGGCATGCATTGGTACTTACACCAGTGGTAACTTTTGCCCGTCAGTAGTCTACACAGGGATTCTGGTGCGTTTACCACCTGGAAACATGAGACGTTTGAACATTTTTTTTGATGGACAGATGAGAGCAATTGAACTCCTCACTTACACCCAGGTGAGCAGGATGATCTGTACTTTAAAGTAAATCGGATACCTTCAGCTCTCCTCTGCCCTCCTCTCGCTCCACTCTCTCGGCCAGTGATCGGAGGAGCGGATAGTTGTCATTAATATCTGCCATCATTACCTCCACCTCCTCAGGATGAATTTCCATCTAAACACAGACGTTTTCAGGGAACTTAAAAGTAAACCCTTGCATGTTCTCTACAGCCTTTGGATGCGGAGTGGTGACGTATTGTTATTATTGTTCTTGATGATTTCAATTACTGATTCAAAAACAAAACTGACCAAGTAGTTCACAAGATGGGAAGATTTGGTTAGGTGATCAATGATGTCCTTTTTGTTGGATCGGATGCGGCAGCAGTGACATAAGAAACAGTACGTGTGGCCATCTTCACTTCTACATTCAACCACGCGGAAAAGACCTGTTGCAAACATGTATAAGCAGCTTCTCTTAAAGCAAGAGTTGGATTTTGCGCTCTAGCCACGAGTTAGATATGATCAACACCAATCTCAGGGCTGTACAATAAATATGGAGCCTTAGGCTGGTTAGCTTAGCACAAAGACTGGAAACAAACCGCATGGCTCTGTCCACAAAAGTAACAAAATCCACAACCAGCATCACTAAAGCGAACTACAAAACATGCATCCCTTTGATTTGTTCAATCCATACAAACATATCAGTGTAAAAATGTAAATTCGCTATTTTATGGGGATAAAACATATTGAATAGTTAATGCAGACTCATGTCTCTAGTCCCAGTCAAGAAATAAGATATACTAAACTACATATTAATCATACAGACATGAAGTTGGTATTGATCGTCTCATCTAGAATATGAACAATAATCTAAAACCATAACATATGCAGTAACACTCATCACTTGAATTCTCACCACTGTGAATTACTGATGTCTAGCAGTTATTTTTGGTTATGGTGCAAGTAACGACAACAGCTTCAGTGCATTACAAAAATCCACATGTGCAGAAATGTCTTATCCTACAACCGATTATAAATGCGTGGTATCGTGGTAAAATAAGTTTCTGCATTTTCTAGCACCTGTTGCTGTTCTTTGTCTGTGCTCACCAATGAGAGGCTCGGTTCCAGTGTAGCCGTCAAGAAAGCTGTTGCCGTTCTCTGACAGAACCGAGGGTTCAGGCGATGTGTCCATTAACCAGCCTTCCGACTCGATAAAAGTCGTGTTTGTCTCTGCTGAGGTCTTGAGGGAGTTCTTGGACCGTCTTTCTGGGTTCTGGGAGACCAATACCATCCTCTGCGTTTGGATGGGATAGTGCTCCAGCTGCACAGATGTGGTCTCTGAATGTCTCCCAGGTTCACCCTGACCCTGTCCATCTTTTAAGAGTGTTATCAGAGTTACTGCTGTCGTGTTTAAAAAGAGAAAGCGACTGATGAAATAATTTTACAAAAAAAAAAAAAGACACAGGAAATGAGAAGACAGAGGGTGGGATTGAAGGGGTGGAGCGGGATAGAGAACCACTGTTCTAAACAAGTGAATAGTCACTGACCCGCACTCTCACTGTGTGTTGCCATCTTCTGGTATACAGCATCGTCAACCTCTAAGCACTGAATATAAAAAGGTGTGAAGAGATATGAGTACACCTGTACTGTTTGGAACTACAAACAAAAACATGCACAGTTAAATGATCATACCTGGACTTCTCCAGGTCCCTCTTTCCCCTCAAGTACCGTGGCCATCTCCATCAGGGGCCAGGCCAGTTTAGACAGGTCCGACATCTCCTTCCATTCAGACACTAAGTGGGGGTGCCAGGCTCTCTGTCAAGCAAAAACAACACCTGTGAATAAACTACAATCCGAGGCAGCACAAAAACGTGCCATCGGGACTTATTTTACAGTACTACTCACGATGTAGTTGTATCTGTGGAGGCTTCCCATGATGTGGTTCCGCATGTCGGCTTTACTAAGTCGACACACACACACTTCACACAGGTATAACACTTCTCTGTGCTGTGTACCCGCCTTCACACATTCTATAATGCTGCCCAGGCCTGAAGGTACATAGAATGACAAATCATTTCAATACACACACACACACACACACACACACACACACACACACACACACACACACACACACACACACACACACACACACACACACACACAGGGAGTTGTTTCAACAGACCAATAATGGGTTGCAGTCTGTTCTTGTTGTTCAGATACACCCTCAGAGAATTGAACAGCTGGCTTCTGGTAGAGAATCCTACAAACAGAGAATGCATCTGACAAACTTAGGTACAGACTAGAAACCAACTAGAGGTAAGATAACAACTCTAAATCGGCCCAGGGGGATAAAGCGGGGTGGGGGCAATGGCCTCTTCTCTACTTCCTACTCCCCCAACTTCTAGCACCGTGCTCGTCTCAAACCATCTTCAACCTCTGCCTTCATTTTGATCTCAACTACACACCTGTAAAGCTTCACGATAGCATCTTGCACAGACAGACAGACAGTAATGTAAACACCTGGTAAAGTACTCAAACGCTTCTGCAGTAGTTCCCGCTACAGTTGGTGTCTCCCAAACCACATTTACACACACACAAGACTCGCAAGGTCAAAACAATACTGTACAATAGTAGCTGTCACGGCTAGTAAAGTGTGGAGTTAGCATGGTAGCCCACATGCCGATAGCGAAAGACATACCTTTTTGTGCTTCACCTGGCTGCATGCTGCAGATGTAGAATCACCACCTGCATACAGGTGAAGTTGGAGTTCACAGTAAGTCAATGTAATTTGAGTGTGCTTGTGTCCAGATGCCTTGACTGTTTTAGTTTTCCCTCTAAAATAGCATGAAAAAGTGAAGCAAAATTGGAAACGGACAGGAATATATAAAAACCTCCTGAAACATAGTTGAATAATGAAAAGGTAAGAGAAGAGAAAGTATGAGATTAATTTAGGGTCAGCAATGACACCACCATCATAACTACACCAGTCTCCTTCACTTCACGTCATACAAAATACTTATATTATCATGTAAAGTCTATTCCCTTTACCAAAGCTTACCTTAAGATTACAGAATTCCACAATTTTGCAAAATAAAACTGTAAAAAATAAAACGTAAATGGTCACATTACAAACTTGTATGGTTAGTATACAATGAAGGCAACACTGCCGGCTTTTACATAATGAGTTAAGACAATTACAACTAATTAATGTTACAATTGTTACTAGCTAGTAGTATCATTCATGATGAGAAACAGCCAACGTTGTGTGCATATAGCCATCTATTTACCTTTTCAAAGTCTATATTGTAAACTGTTGACATTATATAGACCTTTCCAAACCTCACAACATAAACATGCTAAATGGGCCCCTTTTCCTGTTGCAACATATATATATATATATATATATATATATATATATATAAACGTCTTTTCAACTCCTCTGTATGTTCGGTACATATTGTGGAATTGACAATAAAGCAAACTTTGTTAAAGCAGACAGCTGACCGGAAGTAAACTTGGACCAAAGCTGATGCCCTAGCAACAGAATGGCAATGTAAATGTCTACAATGAACTTGTGACCATTTGTTTAAAATGTTTGTGTCCAATCCTACTTGTATCTGCTGGACGTTAGGTTCGTCTTGTATTCAAATAAATTAAGGACGACTGACACCATTTACCGTAAAGTGTCTAAATTAAACCGACCACTAGATGTCGCTGCAACACCACAATACATAGAGGATGATTTCCTCGCGATTAGGTTGCAAAAGTGATTTTAAAAAAAAGTTTAAATCTAACGTTTAATAACGCCAACAATGAACAGATATCTGGCGACCTATCTAATTATTGTGGCTCACTATTGTTTCAGTGTCACATAGTTAACCGCTGTACACAACACTCCCAGTCAGTAGCGAACAACCTAAGATAAGAAAAGTTAGTCACAATTACGGCTAAGAATTCAATCTAAACCACGAGGTTACCTATCTATCATTTTAATTAAACTTCGCCACAATTAACATACGTTACACCTACTGTCGTAATTTAACCCAACACGTATAGAGCTGTGATGACATTAAACAACCAAAACTAACACGCTTGAGTTCAATTTGTCATCGAAACTATTCTAGTCAACTTGTTAACAAGGTAAAGACACAGACTAGCTAGCTAGTAGGTAGCTTACCGTTACAAAGTGAGTGCGTCCGTCTCTTTGGTGCTAGCTCGAGGAAGTCCAAGTCTGAAATCCGTGAAGTAGCATTCAAGAACAACGTGGATACAATTATGCAACTGTTTGTCCTTGGTTGTACCAGCAGGGAGTGAGCAGCGGCGCAAGGTCCTCTTCTGTGTCCAATCAAATCAACACGTCTTGCTGTGTGTGTGTGTGTGTGTGTGTGTGAGGATAACATACCATCATAGTAAGGGTATTTCTGCACTGTGAGGACATCTTACTTCCGATGACTCTTTGAATGCTAAGACTTGGTTTAAAGAATTATGGTTAGGGTTGTGTAATGGTAAATGTCTCCTTAGCATATATTTCTACTTAGTATATTGTGTAAATGCTTAAGTGCTTGTACTGAACTCAGTAGACCTTCATCCTTTGTGTTATGCTCAAATGTATCTTGCTGTTATATTATTATGAGTATTTTGTATTCTTATAAGCAGAACTTTTTTATAAATTGTTGTGAAACCAACCATTATAAGCTTGCAACATGTAACTTGTGATCCATGCAGCTGACAGCCTGCACACATATACTCTTCTTCTCTGTTTTGGATAACAAGTACCTATTATTCACATGTTTATGTCTTAAGGATAAAACATATATATCTGTGTGTCTGTTGTAGCACTTATTTTACTTCTTTAACTGCCACGGCCTGGAGCAGGACGTTCCAGTACACAGGCCCCCACCCTTGATCACTCTCTTTATAACTCTGTGTGACTTTAACTCTGTAGCGCACACTTCTACAGACTCTTTGTGACTCTGTATAACTGTGCCTCTTTTTGCAAGAATAAATACTTTTAAAGACAAGTTCTGTTTGACGATATTCTATATTTCAGCTTAGAAAGACTCAACAGCGGGTGAAATCATTTCCCATCACAGTTGTTAGGCATATAGCTGTGATGGTTGAGGTCAGTGATGGAAGAAGTACTCAGATGGTTTTACTTAAGTAAAAGAACAAAAGTTCTAAAATCAAATATCCCAAAAGTGCAAAAAGTAAAAGTACTCATGATGCAGAATGGCCCATTTCAGATTGTACCTGGTAAATGGGCTCACACATTTTGTTTAGCCGTATGTTATGTCTTGTAACGCTGTACAGAGGTACAGAGAGATATCTGCAGCTTTGTCCTGAACCTTCTTCAGGACAAAACACTGCAGGAGGAACCTCATGTCGGTCGGGAACCTCGCTCTGCTCTGAAGGACAGCTTCGTAGCCCTGAACCTATCTCCCCTAATTTAGATGCCAATCAAACACCGACCACCTTAACACCACAGCTTTGTTTAACCCTTGATGTCATAAGCAACACCAAGCCAGTAGAACGTCAAACAAGCTGAGCTAACTCCATTTAGCAAGTCAAATCAAAGTGAACAATTTAACCTGAGCAAGTATTCAGCTGAGATTTAATGTCGCCATGTTGAGAGCCGTGTGGAAGCAATCCATCAACACAATCTGAATTTGGAACTGAGCACTGTGGGAGGGATTCTGCAATCTCACAAACAAGACGATGTCTTTCTGAGTCTTTGTCGCACTTGCAAGCGGGACCAATCAACCTTAGACTACTCAGACTAAGAGAGCAGTTCTCTCTCTTCATACATTTTCCGAAGCTATACACAAACTGTATAGTAAAAGTACTGTTGCTTTGCAAAAACAAGTACTTAAAGTAGAGAGGAGGAGGAGGAGGACTCTCCTTCAAGGCTGACTGACTCCAAGACTATAGAGTGATAGTAGCTCCACTGTCTCTCTTCTTAAAATCCTTCATCTAGGAAAGAGGGAGAGAGAGTTTAACGAATAAATCATAACATGCATACATATTGGGAGGCTTGTTGAAGGAACAACACTCTGTCACGGTAGATAAGCGAAGCCTTGAGCCGCAGACATCAGAGGCTGCTGGCTCACTGTTCTGCTTGTGACCTGGAGCGTTTGCATCATGACCTCTGATTAGTTATGTACGCATCTACAACTTAGTGACAATTGAGAAGTATAGCCTGGCAGGAAAAATACCATATGTTTTTATATATCCTATCTCTGTACGTCCAGCACTAGTTAAACACACCTCGAAAAGCAGTAAACTTAAGAGGGAGGAAAAATGTACAACTATATTACTTGCTTCAAAGTTGATCTCTTATGTTTGTTCATCTATCTGTAAAATGTATGCGTTTACAGCTATATTCCTTGTTTTGAGTTTATCCTATATGTTGGCTCAGTTATCTTTATAATCTTACATTTATACTCTTTTGGATCAAACTCAGTTCATGCATCTGCATAGTCGTATATTCACAGACCTATGAATAGTCACGTGTTTCATGTATTTCACGATTCCTAAAATAAAGTATGGTCTCGTTGAGACCGGCAGCAATGTCACACACACACAATGTCCAAACAGGATGCCCTTTGTGTATGGGCGGCTGGATCAGAATGTCCGGCGCATCTCTGGTCACTGTGACACACATATGACTGTGTTGTCGAAGCCAGAAGTTTGGCAGAATCATTAAGGAAGACAGTGGGGGGGACTGAGACAAAGCCTGGGACAGATCGAAGCTAAATCCACACAGCGCATAGGCCCATACATAGTAGATGCATAGACACTGGTCATTTAATTGCATTCCTGTTGAGAGTTAGTCTGACGATGAACAGGGACCAGTAGGATCCTCTGACAGGTGTCTCTCCTGATATTGATTAATTAGTAGACCAACAGTACATCTCATGTGCCCAGATGTCCAAAACGCCGCAAGGGAACCAGATCTGAAAACCGTTATGAATCCCTACTGTATGCACGATGAACGAAATGACTGTTTAGAGGAAAGTTGAGAGCTGATGAGTAAGAGGAGGGGGCAATGATGAATAGGGGGACGGTGTTATAAAGTAAGGTACATTTCTTTGTTGGGGAGAGTTGAATCCGGACAACTCGGTTTACTTGTACTCTGTGTGATGCAAATAAACTTGCGTGAACTGAAGCAACTTCAATCTCTCTTATGTTCCGTGGGTGTTCGTTACTGAGTTCCTGGTCAGTGAGAATCCTGTGGTATCTCACCACGAGTCAGATAACAAATACATATTAAGCCAGCTTTTAGATATTGAGGTTAAATCAACTTTAAAGTCCAAGCCACCGATCATCGACATAGAAAACACCACAACACTTCCGAATTGAGGGTGGCTTTGCATTGTGACTACATTCTTTATCACTTGTATTGCTGGAACTCGGTCTCTCCTTAAATTGAGGCTTCAATAAACCTTCAGCTTAAGACATCGAAAGTTAATCTGATCACAAGATTTCCATCACATCCCCTACTAGGCATGGGACACGTGAACATTTTATGTCACGGTTATCCTGGCCAAAATTATTGTATTTCACAATATTGGTAAATGGTCATCCGAATTATAATCAAAATGTGCTTAAAACTCCTAAAATTACACTTAAACATGCTGGAATCACTTCACCTTATATTTTGTTATGGAATCATATGTTTTTATTGCATTACAGACACAACACTTTTTGTTTGTTGTGAAAAGCAAACAAAAAATCTCAGATCAGGTAATCACACTTCCATGATGTTCAATTTATGCACAAAGTTTTATAGTACACAGTAATGTAGCCCTTTATCCTTTTACCATTACAATAGTATTCCACATCTTTATGCCCATGCATGGATGCTGACTCATGATTATACTTTTGCTTACTTTAGCTGTGTTTTATTAGTTTCACTGAGTCACAATTTTCCACAACACTCACTAGTAATTACAAATGTTTTTATCTAATTATTTATCAATGAATTTATTGAACTACTAATGACACACATAACTATCAACTAAATACAATGATGAATGAATCAATGAATTAATTGGGGGGGGGGGGGGGGGCAATGAATGAATGAATGATATAAAGCAGTAAATACAGTATCTCTGCAATGTGAACAAAGGAGACCATCAAGTGAGTTAGTATCAGAGCCCTTATGATTTACGCTGCCTACTTCATTTTCCCACCACACTTTGTTCCCTGGGTCCCGGTGAAGGTCGCAGCTGCACCCTGGAATGTGTGGGTGTCGGCGCTATCAGACGGGTGCTGGTCTGTGAACGCAGTCCTATCGTAAATTAAAGCACTAAGTTCCTGCCCATCTGGCACAAGAAAAACCCTTTGATCATCGTCTGTGAGACAATGGTGAATATTAGAGACTCACACAGGGACATTCTTTGGGGGGAGATTGCTACGTTTTTGTTGATTAGTGATTATATCCACCCTGTACTTTACCTGGTTAAGCTATTTTATGTCTCGTTTTCACAGCTGAAGTCAGACCAGAAAATCCCGATGACAGACAGACTCTATAGTTTGAGCAGTTTCATTTCATTTAAAAAGGTGCATATAGTACCTGAAACCAGCTCTGCCAACATTAGTGCGTACATGAGGGATGTCCAAGGTAAAGGAGTCACTGGATTGTGTACTGTATAGATTTGTAGTTTTAGTCAGTGACCTTGGTAAGCATATGGGGTGACTCTTGGTTACAAACAATAGAGAATTCTCAGGAACTAGATAAAAGACAGATACTGTGTTTGGGTATTTCATTACCATCACCTCACAATTCCACATCAGGTTTCCGGATTTCAGCTCAAGGATACATTCAATGTGATACATGTTATCTACAGAAGGCCGACAAATGGTCTGAATATTATGGTTACCTCGGGTTTGTTACATTGCTGTTCTGCACTTCACCCACAAAGATTACTCAGTCTTGGTGAGAACAGTGTACTTTTACATCTCACAAAATAAAACAGAACAAAATAGTCAGCCTTAAATTATTCTCTTATAATCTTCTGGAACGGATGTTTATACTTGTATTTTTCCCACCGGTCATCAACATTCACACTTAATGTGAAGACTTTTTGGTCTCATTCTGTAATTATTAGTCTACATCTATAATCCATTCAGTGAATCACAAATTCAGTGATTGTTGAAATTGGTTAAGCAAGCCACAGGTTGTAGCCAATGCACACAAGTTAAAAATAGTCCTGAGTGGAAGTTTGGGCATAGATCCTAACAGTACAAATTGAAGTGAATTTTTGCAATTGGTGTGATCGAAAATCCCCCTGTGCTAAGTACTTTTCTACTGTGACTTATCCTATGTCTTAATCAATAACAAGACTATATATCTTATGTGCCTTACTCAATAACAAGACTATATATAATGTTTATGCATGACAGATTGTTCACTTAGAGGTGATAGCCGACAGAATTTTCACTTAGTGGTAGTAACTCACAGAATGTGTAGGTCAGGGACAGTTAATCACAGAAATGTCTTTGTGGGGACTCATCTTACTCCCCTTTTCCCTTTGCACTAATCCTTCATAAGATGTCCCTTAGACTGCACACAGTGGGATGATCAAACCTTCTCTGCGCAGAGAATAAATACTACAAAAGACAAACTTCTTTTCTTAATGTTCCCCATTTCAGTATTCAGTATTTTAGGACTCACTCGGTACTATTATGTAGTTTTTCCAACACATTGGCAAACAATATTCTGTAACTATGACAGATTAGGAAACTAGGACTTTTTTAATAAAGGCCTGATTCACAGCATGTACATGGAGTCTTTCTCCTCTCTTTAAGGTAGAAGAATTTCACTCACATCAGTTGCCATTCATTTCCCACAGAGGTCTGGCCTTGATGACATTTCTTGAAGCTCCTGCAAATACCAAACATGGATAGTCAAAACTTGACAACCTGACCTTGAAACAAAACATATCCCAGAAATGCTCTACTCCCCATTACTGATATGTTTTAGAAATATCCTTCACCAACAGACATTTTTGTACATGAAAAGGAACATTCACGTATATTCACCGAATGTTAACTAAAACCACAGGTGAACAGTGAATACACCAAATCTATTTGTCGTATAGTCTCTTGACTATACTACACCCAGAGGTTAGACCTTCCAAGTCTCAATGAACAGCTCGACTTGATTTGGAGAAAATCGTTAAAACCTTGAAAAACAATTCAAGAAGTATTGTGACTTGCTTGAATTATTTCACGATGGAAAAAACAATGAACCACACTTTGGGATTATTTTGCTCAAGATCAAAATGTATTGATACATGTAGTTCAAATGTCACAAAAAACAAAAATAGTGGAATGTTGACAATGCAATGACTGTGGCGACTGAGATTAAGGGCCATACAGGAATAAGGAGATTGGTTTATTACTGAGACGTACATTTGGGAAGTCTTCATCTTCATAGATTAACAGTTAAGAAAGAGAGCAACAACTACGTTTAAATCAAGTGTTTTAGAGTCATTGGTTCAGCGTGGGAGAAAGACTACAGGTGGCCAACCTTCTTAGATAAGTATTAGCTTTTATTAAAAGTTAACCGCACAGACAATGTTTTTCTTTCAAAATGTGTCCGATCTATTTTGAAACCAGAGATGTTCCAGCCAAATGAGGAACTGTGAAGTTTCCACCGTTCTAAGTGGACTCAGAGGTTTATGATTTGTCAATGTCTCAGGGGGATTTCCTGTGTGGGTAAGAAATGAGACAAATCTGTGAGGTTGCATAACCTCTTTTTATCTGGTAAGAACCATCATGGAAAAATTCAAGACTTCAAATTTGGTGCGCTGGTCTAGCTGAAATTGTTTTTGGATTACATCCGAGTTTTCATAACCCTCATTCCCCCTACAAGGAAAGCCTTGGTGCATTTGTGCCTTGGTCTCATTTGAAAGGTAGAGATGTTTTGTGGGCGTTGTACTCGGCCCATGGCACCAAGAATTCTGGGACGTCGATAAGTGACCCAATTACATGCAATCCTTGTTCCCACAGTACATTTTGTGTATGAAAAAACAAGCACAAAACACGTTAAGCACAAAGAGAAAAAATACAATTTATTGAGAAAATATTCAAATATATTTCACATTCAACACAACTGTGTTTTACAGGGATTTTATTAAAATGAACAAAACATGAATATAAAAAACTTCAAAAATCAGTCTGCTGAAAATGTTACATTAGAAATGTTAAAACAAGAGCTACACTAGCTTTTTTGAAAAGGTTTACAAAGTCATCCTTCATATGTAAAGCAAGAAATATTTTAAATATCCTGAACTTGTTGCAACTTCAACAGAATATCAGTTTAACTTCATTTAAAATAAATGTGTGTGAACTGAACACACGCACACACTTCAGTGACTCCACATATCTAAACTTAATCATGTCTTCTAGACACAGAGCAGTATTTAACAGGTGTACTGCAGAGATAACTTGGTCTTGTTATTTACCTGGTTAACAGGTAGTTTTTCATGGAGGAGAGCTATTGATCATTGAGGGAGCTACAGTTGAAAACCCTCCACCAGAGGCAAAAAAGGAGTTTGCATATGCCTGGGACATGACTTGAGTGTTGGCGGCAGGGGGATAGTAAATACCTGGAGGGTTGTGGTAAACCTGAGGATTGTTCTGTGTTATGTTGTTGCTGCTCTGCGTTAGAGCGAGTCGGTAATCGTAATCGTAAAACGAATTTTGTGAAATGTTGGCGGGAGTTGTGAATGACATGGTGCCTACGTAGGCCGCCTCATTGGTCGTGTTTCCATTTCCAGCAGCCATGGAGGTACTTGTCCATGAGGAGCTACGCTGCTGTATGAGTTGCTGCTGTATGAGTTGCTGCTGCTGCTGTAGGAAAAGCTGCTGCTGCTGTAGGAAAAGCTGCTGCTGCTGCAATCTCAGCATCACCCATTCTGGGGGCAGTTGAGGTGCTAAACTGTTTGTTGCAAATGATTGCAGACTTTGGCGGGTTGTTTCCTGCTCCGGGTGAATCCGGCTTGCGAAGTAGAGCCCCCTAGTAGGGTACCCTTCACTATGAAATGAACTCCCAGTGTGTACAGGAGGGTTGCCTGGTGTTGAGCAACTTCCAACAGCCTCAGAAGAAAAATAACTCGACTGTCCATTGGTGACATAAGCCATTTGGTTGTACTGACCATACCTTTCTGAAGTGTCACTGGGGCTTATTTCTGCAACAGAGGATAAACTGTGAGTGACCACATTGCCCCTGTTCACCTCGGTGATGTCCTCTTCATTATTGCCACCTATAAACTGCTTTGACCTGACAGTTACGATGGCGTTAATGGGCAACTGATGAGCCCAAGTGCTGTTGTTCTCTGTGTTACCTGGTGGCTGTAGTATGTGACCTGGGTTACTGTTGATGACTGCACCGTTAATGGGACTAGGGTTGGACTGGCTAGTGTTTCCAAAGGTGGTCTGAGCGCCGATACTTCTCTGGTGTTGTGGGTCACTGGGGTCAGCGGTGCTGGCATAAGGTAATGTGGTACCGACTGCTTTGGCTTTAGTCGCCCCGAACAAAAGGTCGCCCCTCGCTGAAGTAGAGCTATCAAGAAAAGAGTTGAACTTCTCCAATGCGTAAGTGTTATTCATGGCCATTTTAGATGTAGTCTGCATAAACCTTTGATCCCATCTTCTTCTCTGCACCCCACTTTCGGACAAACTGTTAGCGCAGCAGGTAGTAGTCTCACCATTACCTGGAGCGGAGGTGCAAGGGGACACATTTATCTCAGACTTCCTCTCTCTGTATAGAGCCATTAGGTGATCAAATGTCATCTGGTCCACAATGGGCAGGTCTTGTTCATCAGATCCAGGTCCAGTGTCTTTGTCCTGAAGAGACAGGGGGAGGGAGGTTGCAGCAGGGTTCACAGAAGTGGACTCAGAGACTGATTGGGGGCTTGGCTGAAAGATGGGCTGCAGCTCATTGTATGTGCGTTTGCATTTGTCTGGCAAGGGATCCTTGAGGTTGGGGTTATTGGTGGAAGATCTGATCAATGTTTCAATAGATTCAACAGCTGGTCTTTTCTGGGCTGGAGGGCATGGATCTCTGGAAAACACTGACAGGGTTTGAGTGGTTTGAGGACAAACAACAGAGGTAGATGTGGATTCTGAGTGCACCTCTGCCTGTTTCACTGGCAACCCTGCGATAGGCCTCTGGTGCTGAGAGACCGGGGGTCTGGGACCCGGTTGCTCTTGGTGACCAACACATGTGGCAGCACCGGAGCATGGAGAGACAACAGAATCAGCCTTTGAGGAGACACTGGTCACACCCAGAGGACTCAGAACTCTTCTTGGTTTGACTCCATCCAAATCGCCAACAGTCTCTTGGAAACGATGTATCTCAGTTGTTTGTCCTGGTCCTAATAGAGACAGTGGAGAAGGAATAAGAGAACACAAGAAAAAGAAGCTCAAATTTATTCCAGCTCAGATAAATCATCAGCCCCCATTTCTGAATCCTCGATAAATCTTAAGAAATCATTTCCAGTGGTGTCAGATTCAAAAAGTGGGGGGGGGGGGGGGGGGAAACTAGTTTTTGGCAGTGACGCATTACTGAGCAACACATTAAAGTAAGAAAGAAAGTAGGTAGAAATAAAGTAATGTGGTATTATAACGAGTAATGTAACCAATTACTATTGATACCAAAAAAGGTAAAGTAATACTATTACTTTTTAAAGGACTAATAAGCAAAAGTAAACTTATTACACTTTGTAAGGATCTTATTCAACACTGTAGTGAACAACATGATAAATCCTACCGTTGTCGCTTCTCCGGTCCGTCTCAAGTGCCTGTGCTGGCTGCATCTCCATAGAGAGAGATTCCTCTGGACTGTGTTGGCCCTCAGGCAGCTGCTCTGTACAACAGAAACCAAAACGCATTGCTCTTACCCATGACTTGCCTGTATTAGTCACTTTAGTTAAGCTGTGTATAAGAAGAAGAAAGAAATGACCCTGTAACTGGGCTAATGGGACTCACCCTTTCGTTGTGGAGTACAGATGGTTTTAAAGGAGACGCTCAGTTTCTGCTCTCTCTTGATTTTTTTAACCATTTCTAAAGCTACAAAAAGCAAATCACACAGTTGATACCAAATACCCACATGTACCATAGACTCTGTTTACTTTGCTTGCTGATTGATACCTTCACTGAAGGAAGCAGTCCAAACACTTTCATACAACTCCAGTCCCAGCAGTATACTCTTTGTGAGAGAAAACACAAACGGAGCAACAATGAGCATAATGGATGTGTATTTCCACAATGTACAAGTTTTTTGCTTTAACTTATTATGATGCAGTAAATGGTTTTGTGCAATTCTGTTTGCCTCCTGCTATGATCTACCTGTAAAATGAAGGCTTGATTTACAGCTCAAAGGAAGTGAATCAACCATTGAGCAACTAAAACAGGAAGAGGATAGTGTTTTTGTTTTCCCCAGGAGCTATCGGCTATTAGTGTCTATCCCCAGTTAATAAACAGTATCAGTGTAAGTACTTTGCAGTTACTATCCACAGGAGTGGAAAGGGCGAACGGTGGAACAAGCAAAGTAACTGTGGAAGACAAAAAGCAATGTGTCCTGTGCAGTGAGGCCAACTCTTTTCCAATGAAAGTAGCTAGCTAGCATTAGCTTCAAAAGTCGCTAAAATACTGGTAATTGTTTTGCTAGTGGTATGATCTGAGAAAAAATGAAAGCTATTAAGTTGTCTCTGCGACAGCGGCAACAATGCTACTAACTGGGAAACGTTAGAGTAGGGAGGGGTCGGATGTCTATTCCTACTTTAATTGTGAAATCTTAAACATAAAGTCCACCATAAATTAAACAATATATTTTGGTAATTTGCAAAAAGACAACATATGTTTGAAAACATTATTAACCACATCTTGTCCAACTTACTTCCTGGACAAAACATGCTTGTTATATGGCACTTATAGTTTACCTGCGCATCCGTCTTGTAGCGACGCTCCCCAATAGATAACTTCTGGGCGATGCCATTTAGTATTTCCAATTTCATCCAATACTCTAGATAGACATCTGGAGGATGAAGCACATAACTTTCTGGCCAGAAGTACAGAAGCTCAGGTTGCTGACTCATCTGAAACACATGCATCATTATGATATACAAATGTGGGAATGATTGTCAAATACTTTTTTTCAAAAGGGTTCTTAATGCATTATTGAGACACTCACAATGACGTTGAACTGGTGTTCATCGCTGATCATGTGTTGACAGATGTCAACACATCTGAGCTTCACGCTGCAGCTCTCACACAGGTAGAATGCGCTCCTATTCGGCCCAGGACCCTCCGACACAAAGCGACACTCCCACACAAAGCCCATACCTGGTGACGACACGCCGTCTTTAACATGCGCTTTGGTGAAAAGAAATGAAATAATGGGAGTGAAAAGGGTTTGCTGTGTAAGAATGGACACACCCACCTATGATTGGTTTGCGGTCGTGTCCCGTCACCTTCAAGTAACTGGACAAATTACTGCTGCCCTCAGCACTTTCCCCTGTGACAACCATACAAAATAACAGTTATGGGCAAGCTACTTAATGCAAAGTGTAGTGACTTAGCTACCAGTTACTCTTCATTAAGCTTTCCTGCACTGAAGCTACCCCCACAAGCTTAGATACAGCAACATGGAAAAAGTAGTTTAACATCAAAGATGAAGCAATTTCATTCTAAGAAAATGTTATTAATATACAAATATATACTACAAATATCCATAATCTAAATTATTTACGAATATAATTAACATAAATATTATGTATATTCAACTATCAATGCACACTCAATTCTAACATACGTGGACAAACATGCACCTTACTAGCATAGCAAAATCCACCGGCCTTGTACAAATACAGTGTACTACACTGTAGCATATTGATATAATAAACAGTGTGTGTATGGCTGTATGTGGCAACTTCCTGGGGATCAATTCCTCGCCTTCCTCATCCTCTGCCACCTTTCCATCAAGTAAACACAAGCTTGCATGTCTGTATTCCAGCATTATTGTAGCAAAGATGTCGTAGGCATCAGCCCGAGTATTGGTACGTGACTTCACCGTCATATGGACGTGCTCCTGTCGGCTACACGTACGTGTCGTGGGGTCACTTACCGTCTGATCTTCAGCCGTTTTATTTCAGACTGCTATAAAAAATTTAAAAAAGCTCTACTTGAGCTTCAGAAATGCCTGGGAAAATGTAGCTTGTGTTGACACTACCTCACTACTTGATCAATTAAAGAGCTAAGCTACTGAACAGCTATGGCAAAAAAAAGGCAAAAAACACTGACACATAAACGCTTAACCCCTACCTATTGAAATCCTTGGAAGTGCATCCGAGTGTCTTGACACAGGTTCTGCTTTCTGGCTGTGTCTTGGTTGATTCTGTTGTTCTGTATTCACTGTGGCAGCAGAAGAGAGCTGTTCCGGGTTAAAGAACTGTACAGGTGATGTTTTCTGAGAGCCTTCCAACACCTTCCATGTGTCCTGTATCTCTGGGCGACTTCTCTCCTGCTGTGGTCTCCACTCAGGAGTCTCTTTGCATCCATCGGGAGTTTGAGGTTTCTGCATTTTGGCTGCTGGGAGGTAGGGATGAAAGAGATTGTGTATTTGTGTAAATGAGTGGTGTTAGATATTTCATTTCTCTGCTAATACAGCTTTATTCGGCTGTTTACGACCCATTGTGCCAGAGTCTAAGGTCAGGCTGACCCAATGCACAAAGGCCAATTTGTTCTCTTTGGACACAGCGACGGCAGCACTGCAGAAGGCCGCAATTGAACATGCGAGTGTGAGGCTACTTGTTCTCTCCTAGCTCTATGAATGTACGACTGTCCGTAGGATACATGAACTATTACTAACCCCAAAAACCTATGTTTGCAGGATTACACTGACACATGAACTAGGAATATTTGTATGCAAGATTATAATGATATATAAGCAAAGAATATGAACTTGACTCTTTAAGTATTGACTAGAATGGCACATGCATACATTTTTCTCCCACAATGGTGATGCAGAAAGACTTCTACCAACAATAAGACCATTGCAAGGACCAAGATAAGATTTAAATTTCTGTATTCCGATCATTTCACACAATAACAATACACAAATGGCACATATATAATAGTGGCTTCTATTGACAAAAATATTGATATTAACTGACAAAGCCATCCATTGTTAGTGCAGCTGTAAATATCTGAACCCTGCTTTTCTGTTGGTGAATGTGTACGACAGACAACAGACGTACCTGCTACGCCTGCGTCTTGAATGCGAGGATTTGCGACGGGCTCATTCTTATTCAAGATCGAATGTAGCTGGTCTAGAATCTGGTCATCGGCTTCAGGCTCTGAACTCTCCACGCTCTGAGATCTGTCGAACGACTCTTTTGAACTGGATTCAATTTCTGAAATAAGAATAGTGACCTTTATGAGAATAGATACCTCATGACAGATCTAAAGAGTCAGGAATAAATCTTGCGTGTGGCTCATTCACAGGTCTTCTAATAACGTCACACAAGTTATCAAGAATGAAAATACTTCTGCTCATTCAGGTATGTGCATGCAACATTCCAATGTATTTACACACTGATACATTTCAAACATGGACAAGAATTTACCATCGTCTGGGCTTGAAGCTTCAAGTGGACTGGCCCCGGAAACCTGCTGTCTCAAAACCTCTACAGGACTGGCTGTGGAGGGTGAAGAGGCCCCTAAGCCTCTTGCCAGCATTGCTTTCAGTCTTTCTAGAGCTGAGAATAAACAGAGAGAATTTTATACATTTTATTTAACCAGGTACACTTCTCATTCAGTTAAAATTTACTACAAGTGAATAAGCACAAAATACCATTTATATGCAACAAAAAAAAAAAGATATAATGCATAAAACAGGTAAATTAAAAAAACATTTCAGTGAAAAATTAAAGACCAATCCCATTGACCAAAAGAGCCTTTTCCTCGATCCTTTAAAATGGACTTAAATTCCACCATAGTAATCAGATCTCACAGTTTCAGGTCCGACTGTACATTATTCCAGGAAGAGGGGGCAGCACATTTGTACACTTTTTTTAACTAACCTTGGGGACCAACATCTGCAGAATATTGTGAAAGTGCCAACCATACTGATTGAAACCAAGACAATGACCATACAGTATGCATAGAACAATAAGAATGAATAATCTCCACTGTGAGGAATGTTCCCGGAAAGTTGTTGTGTTTTTGTTACACTCGGATGAGACGTTTACATCTACACTCTTCATGAAGTCGGCCGTCATGTTTCTACAGTCACCCAGAACGAACAAACGAAAAGACTGGCTCCATTCACGTTTTACCGTCAGCCAACGCTTGGTACTCGGGAGAAGTTTCAGTTTGTTGCAATCTGCAACATCTCCGTAACATGCCACCAAACCCTACACACTGCACCTTTAAGTGAGCGCCCACCTGAACCAAATACATCAAAGCTTACACCTCAATAACACAACATATCAAACGTATCAAGGTGAATTGGTGTCAAATTGTGTCAAAAATAAAACCTAAGTATGTAAGTCACATAGAATTAGATTTTTGTGGCGTTATTAGGATATCTTTACCTTTTTCTGGTGAGAGATCAGCGAGCTCTTTGTACACATCAATTGTCACTTTCACCGTCTGGCAAAAAGAAACGAACATTGGTAATGAGAAACTATACCAAGCTACTCGGTTAAACACATTTTCAAGTCTGTGACATCTTACTTTGCTGATGTATGCTCTCATGTTTACGTCATTGTTGTACATACTGCATCACAACTTTAAAGCTATTAAATCAGCCTTTAGGTATTGAGTTTTAATATAAGTCATAGAAGCTGATCATCGACATTGAAAATAAACCACAGCAAGAGACTCGAGCAGCTCACCGGGAAGGACGGGGTTCCTACATTTCTCTCAACCACAGCCAGGTGGGTCACCATCTCATGCAATTTGCTCTCCAGCTCAGACTCCTTGCAAGTCCATTTTGGGTCCTTTATTTTCTGGTAAGAACATCGAGAGCACACATCACCATCTGTAACACTGCCCTGCTTTACAAACTTCATTCATTTTACAATGAGACTTATAAAGCACGCACCACATAGTTAAGCTGGTGGTCAGCGCTGCATGTGTGGTCGGACTTTAGCAACCTGACTGAACACAGCCGACAGTAGACTTGTTTCCTTTGTCCACAGGACACTTTAATCAGCTGGTTTAAGCCTATGAAGAAAAGAAACAATGCAGACCTCCGATTAAAATCAAAAACAGACCAATCGATAGAGACATACCGAGATATTTTCCGATGTAAATAATAATACGTACCAACTTCAGGAGAGCTTACACTTGGCCTCTTCTCACTTGTGCAGATTTGTGATGGCTCTGCAGGTGGATTTTGGGGCATGGTCAGGTGGAGAGATGCAGGTGCCTTACTCTTAGGTATATTTGGTGCAACATCAGCAGTTGACTTCACTGAACTCTTCACATGTGCAGTCTTAACAGAGGCTCCAGTATTTTCACAGCTAACTGATGTTTGACTGTCAGTCATTTTAGCAGAGGCAACAGATCTCCCCATAGTTTGAGATGCAACCACAGTTTTGGATGCACTCTCAGAACTTTTGGATGCGTTTTCCGTTTTGAAGCCAGGTGCAGTTCTGCAGGCGGTTTCACACCCCACTGTGGATTCTGTTTTCGAGTGGGTGGCAGCTTTATATGAAGCCGCTCTGACGTCAGCTGCAGCTCCAGTTCTGCTTTCCAGTGTTTTGGGCAACGTTGCAGATGTTTTGGTGGAGGTTGTCCTTGAGACGGTTGCACTCGAGGTGGAGGTGGTTGCAGTGCAGATGGGGATAGTTGCTGTACATTTGTTGGCAGTTTCTCTCGATTTGTTGTTGGCGGCTTTGAGTTTAGAGATAGGTGCTGTCGATGTGGTGGTGTCTGGAGTAGAATTGGAAGATTTGGTTGTAAACTTGGAGATGGTTGTGGTTACAGTAGAGTCGGAAGTTGCTGCCGTTTCAGATCTCCCCACCTCTTTGGAAGTGGTTGCTATTTTTAACGGTCCCACAGTTGTGTTTGAAATGATTTCAGCTTTGTCCTCACTAAGTGACAGATCAGGTGACTTTGAGGCTTTGATATGGGCTTCATTTGATTCAGTGGGGACTTTGGATGCATTGGAGGTGGTTTCAGTCATTACAGACATTGATGTAGTTACTGAGGATGACTGTGCCTCAGAGTCTTCTGAATCATCAGTCTCCATCTTCACCACCTATGAAAGGAAATCAAACAACCATATTTAGCAGACTGCTCATTTTTCAGCTGCCATAGAAAACAAAATGCAGCATTTTCCTGTTTTCCGTTTCATAAGCTCAGCATGCAGTCTGACTGATTTTATTAATTATTAATTGATGCCAAAACGACTGACCTGGAAGTTGTCCTTCATAAAACAGACCTCATGTTGAGCATTAAGGGTGACTGAGGAGTCCACAGGTTGAACGCCAGACAGAGCCGAGGTTGAAGGGAGTTCATGGCCACAGTTCTGCTGATCCTGAAGTTCTTTCACCGTCTGTATGGCTGTGTGGAGGATAGAAACAACAGAAGAAATACAGTACAGTGAAAGTTCTGACTTTGCCATTCACCTGTTGATTAAATCAAATGAGCTTCAACCAAAAGTACTGAAAACATAAAAAACAATCTTAAAATTAAGAGCAGATGTACTCTTACCTGAATCAAAGTCTTGTTTTGAGATGTTATTGTAAATGGCATCATCCAGTTCAACAACCTGGACATAAGAAATAAGCAACAATTAGTAAAATGTATTCCTGAATTCTGTTTGAATCTTTCAACTCTTTATCTCAGTTGTTGTTTTCAACAATATCCAGGACTAGACTAAGGACAATTATATTCTTTTCAATCTTAGTTTATTAATTGACTGTTATGAGAATGTCCACAAATAAAAGAACCAAACCTGAGCCTCTCCATATCCATTTTCTTGTTCAAACAAAGCAGCAAATTGTCTGATCGTCTTCCCCTGGTGCATCCCTGGTGGAGGTGGAAGTTTCTGTACGCCCTGAAGTCAGAAACATACATAGGAAGCCATTACTACTACAAAACATATCTTTTGTATTGCATATTGTTAGATGCGGGGGTTCACAGGCCCGATACGGGGTTAACTCTAATTCTTGCAAGATGGCGCCGTGCCAGCGGCTGCCTGTCGCAGCAGCTCCCTGTCTGTTTTAATTTTTTGTCTTTTTTTATTCACTTTTCTTCTCTGCTTTTGTTCCTTTTCCTTAACGTTTGGTTTAAATTATGGTCAGACAACAGACCGTAACTTTTTCTCAACTTTTCCCGTGGCTTTTCTGTTACTTTTCTTCCTGTTTGTACGGAGAGCCACACACAATGAGTGGGGCCATTGTCTATTCCCGCGGTCAGCTGATTGCGCTGAGCAAACCGCGGCTTTTGCCCGGCTCCAGGCCTGAGATCCCGGCGGAGCTAAGGAGAAGGGCTCGGGGCTGCAGGTCGGGCACTAAGCGGAGGACGAAGGCGAGGAAGTACAAACCCTCGGTACCGGCAATTATAACGGGGAACGTGAGGTCTTTGGCGAATAAGACGGACGAGCTCGGCGCGCTGGTAAAGACTAAGAGGGACTTCCGTGAGTGTAGCATCATGTGTTTCACGGAGACATGGCTGCACGCGGATTTCCCGGACCACAGTGCGTCGGTGTCCGGCTTCGGGTGGTGCAATCCCGACCATGTGTGTGTGAAGGAACGCTTCTGTAGCCCGGACATTGAACTGTTGGCCGTGGGGATGCGTCCATATTATTTGCAGAGGGAGTTCACGTCCGCCATTGTTGTGGCTGTGTACGTCCCCCCATCAGCGGACGCTGAGGCAGCATTGGACACCATCCACTCCACTGTATCTGGACGGCTGAGTCAACATGCTGGTGCTTTTCTGGCAATTACTGGAGACTTTAACCACACCACTCTGGATAAAGCCCTGCCAACCTTTCACCAGTATGTTGACTGCCCCACAAGGAACAATAACACTCTGGACCTTCTGTATGCAAATGAAAATGATGCATACAGTGCCACTGCCCTTCCCCCCCTTGGCAGGTCCGACCACAACCTGATCCTGTTAACACCCAGGTATGTTCCTCTGGTGCAGAGGCTGCCTGTGACCACCAGGACTGTGAGGAGGTGGTCTCTGGAGGCTAATGATGCCCTGCAGGACTGCTTTGAGTCGACGGATTGGGATGTGCTTTGTGGACCACATGGGGAGGACATCAACAGCATGACGGACTGTATCACAGAATACATCAAATTCTGTGAACAAACCGTCATACCAACAAGCTACCTGTGACCTGAAAGCTCTTCTTAATAAGAAGAAAGCAGCTTTCAGGTCTGGGGACAGGGACGAGCTAAGGAGAGTCCAGCGCGACCTGAAGATAAAGATCAGAGAGTACAAGGACTCTTACAGGAGGAAGCTGGAGGCCAAACTCCAGCAGAACAATGTGAGGGAGGTGTGGACGGGGATGAAGCAGATTACTGGCTTCAAGGTTGGAGGGAGACAACCAGGGGGCTCCCTGGAGAGGGCCAACGAGCTAAACTCTTTCTTCAATAGGTTTAGCTCAGAGCCCTCATCCGTCTCCTCCACACACCACACCTCCTAAACACCTCCCCCTCTGTCCCCTCTGTCCCCCCTCCCCCCTCTCTGTGACGACTGGCCAGGTTAGGAGACAGCTGGAGAGACTCCACCAAGGCAAAGCTGAAGGACCTGATGGCATCAGCCCCAGGGTCCTGAAGACCTGTGCCGTCCAGCTGTCTGATGTCCTGCAACACCTCTTCAACCTGAGCCTGAAGCAGGAGGAAGTCCCGGTGCTGTGGAAGATGTCGTGTCTGGTTCCTGTACCAAAAAAGACGACACCATCTAGCCTCAATGACTACCGACCAGTTGCCCTCACATCTCATGTGATGAAGCTGCTGGAGAGGCTGGTCTTGGCCCACCTCCGTCCGCAGGTGAAATCCTCACTGGACCCTCTGCAATTTGCGTACCAGCCTCATGTGGGGGTGGACGACGCCATCATCTACCTGCTGCAACGAGCTCAGTCACACCTGGATGGAACCGGTGGCTCTGTGAGAATCACTTTCTTTGATTTCTCCAGTGCATTTAACACCATCCAACCAGTGCTGCTGAGTGAGAAGCTGCAGGTGGTGGGGGTTAACGCGTCCACCGTCTCCTGGATCACTGACTACCTCACAGGCAGACCACAGTTTGTCCGACTGGGCCGTGTGCTGTCTGATGTGGTGGTCAGTGATATTGGAGCCCCACAGGGAACTGTTCTGTCTCCCTTCCTGTTCACCTTGTACACCACTGACTTCCAATACAACTCTGGGTCATGCCATCTGCAGAAGTTCTCTGATGACTCTGCAGTGGTCGGGTGTATAAGGAATGGACGGGAGGAGGAGTACAGGGCAGTAGTGGATGACTTTGTGGAGTGGGCGGGTAGAAATCACCTGCGTCTGAACGTGGCCAAGACCACGGAAATGGTGGTCGACTTCAGGAGGAAGACGACGACTCCACAACCGCTGAGAGTTCTGGGAGAGGATGTGGACATGGTGGAGGAGTACAAGTACCTGGGTGACTCCATCGACAGCAGACTGAACTGGAAGGCCAACATCAACGCTGTGTACAAGAAGGGGATGAGTCGACTCTTTTTCTTGAGGAAACTTCGATCCTTCAACGTGTGCAGCAAGATGTTCCATCGGTCTGTTGTTGGCAGTGCACTGTACTTCGCCGTAGTCTGCTGGGGGAGCAGCATTGGAGCTGGAGACACCAACAGACTGAACAAACTTGTTAAGAAGGCCAGCTCCATCATTGGTTGTAAACAAGACTATCTGGAAGAGGTGGTGGAGAGGAGGACACTGAAGAAACTATTATCCATATTGGATAACCCGGACCACCCTCTCCACCACCTACTGCAGGGACAGCGGAGCACTTTCTCCAACAGACTGATCCAGCTCCGCTGTCACAAGGACCGATACAGGAGAACATTCCTGCCCTCTGCTATTAGACTGTACAATAAATCCCCTCTTGCCAAATCAAACACAAGACTTTAACACTGCTAACTGTTGTTGTTGTTTGCTGTTGGTGATCCTTGCACTACTGTTTTTTACCTAGTTGGTTAACTTATACCATTCTATTTTATTGTATATGCTGTGCATTTTTTTATTTTGGTTCTTTCATATTTACTCTGTAACTTTGCTTGCTGCTGCTACAAACAAATTTCCCCCTGGGGATGAATAAAGTATACATCTATCTATCTATTTACTCAGCTCTCTTTTAAAAGATTGGCAAGCTGGTGTTCTGAGGAAACTCGCCTGACTCTGCTCACTACCGTTACTCCTGACGTCTACCCTGCTTCCTCCGGTAACGTGCACTCGGCCGAGGGGCCACCCTGGCCGGGCGCTTCTACCAGTCGCGTCAGTTATGGCAGCTTTCCTCTTCTGGATCCGGGCTCTTGGTAAATTGCCAGTTAGATTTTAACGGCTAGGATTACTAAAACCGTAAGGGGCTGTTAAGTGGACTGGTCACTAGGATAACCATTCAGAACTCTGTTGTTGAACATACAATAGATTTAACCTTTTACGGCCATGAGGAACTTTTACTACCTAAGCCAATTAATTCTCTGAGAAATCTACTTTGCAGATTAGATATTTATTGCAGGATATTTTAGTAGGGGCACAGCAACAGCTCACACAAAATAATACTATACTTAATTCGATTCGTTAGAATTTCTTTTTAGATTATACGGTCCTTTATATCCTCATTATTTCGATGCCGAGGCTCGGTGGAGCTGGATTGAAGAAGTGATAAATCCTTTTGTGGGTCTTGGGAGCGGAGGTCCGGCCGAACCTTCAGCTCCTCCTGCGCGGGCCAACAAAGTCTGTTCAGCGATCCTTCAGGCTCAGTACAAAGTCTTTAGGGCTGTGTCCTTCTGTTGTCCGGTTGTTAAAGTCAAACAGGGGGGAGAGGAAAATCTCCGTCTTTTAATCTTTGTTCAAGAACTGCGGTCTTCTTTCCACGAACAAAGACGAAGTCCTCCGATGCAGCTGTCGAACGAGGTCCAGTGTCCTCCGTGGAGCACTTGGAAGTGGTCCCGCGATGAATCCTGTCTTGCTCTTTGCTTTTGGGCTCTCCCCCCTCCCCGATCACTCCCTTCTCCGGCACATGACTTCATCGATTCTGTGTGTATGCGTTCGGTTACACCCTTGCACACACACTCAAAACCCGATATGACCTCAGCCTCTAAGGCTCACACCCAACTCACACAGCTCTTTCCACACACACAGACTATGATTTTTTTTACTTAATCAAGTTTTTTACACACATCATTATTATCAATTTACATTTGTTAAATCACTTCGTATTTTTATGTAATACACACTTGCTTATTGGATTTCATCCTTCCAACCATAAGTATACATTTTGTGTCCATTTAGCCTGGTTCACATACCGAACATGTATTCCTTCTTTTAAGGCAGCCTTCCTGGGATCTCAACTCTTCTTATTTTTTTAATTTATTATACTATATTGATCCCTTTAAGGGGGAAATTTTTCTCTGCATTTGACCCATCGGTGGGCTGCCAATGACAGGCGCCCGGGGAGCCTGGGGTTCAGTGTATTGTGAGGTACACTTTGACACGTGACACGTCCCAGTTGAGGATCGAACCGTTGACCTTCCGGTTGCCAGACAACCCTCTTAACCCAGTGAGCCACCTTATAACCACATGATGGCGCCACAGTCATTAGTTTCTAAGGCTGTAACTATGTACGTATTAAATGTACGTACCTATGTACGCACCGTTCGGTACGAGACTTAAAATACGTTTGAATAGTACGAGAGTATTTGGAAAATGCAGAAGCTTAAATTCAGGAAAACATATTTTCTGCGCTCATGGAGGACAGTGGTTCTCAGCTGGTCTGGCTGTGGGACCCACCATCATTCCTTAATGACAAGTCACGGCCCAAAGAGATCGCCTTATGATTTTATTTTCACAACTTGAGCATTGTACGTACTGCTCTGCAGTGTCTTTCCTCGTCTCAGTCTCCTGTGTCATGGTGCATCTCACTCAGTCAGAATGCCCATATTTGATTGGCTGAGCTGCATCACGTGATGTGATTCACTACCCGACAGCCTCTGCTGTTAAGTTTCGTTTCACGATAGTCACGTGCTCGCCCACTGACAATCACAGCACACTCTGCACCTCGCGGCAGAGCTACACATGAACACTGAGCTGCACGTAATGCTGACGTCATTGTAGGCCGGCTAGCAGGTGCTGACACGTCAAAGAACACGCCCAACATGTCAAACTAAAGATCTGATTGGTTGAAGAATATGACAATCAACAATATCGTCCCCATTCACTTAAACTGCACATGGATGCACCCGAGACTCTGCAGGCCTGGGCCTCTGTTCTTACCTAGAGACACAGAGGTGAAATCTGATTGGATAAAAGCTCTACTTAAAACAAGCCGCACTGGAAGCAGAGCAACTGAGGAAGACAGCTGTGCAATGAGAAAATAAGATAATGGGAAAAATATTTTTATAAATTACATGTAACATACATGTAGTGTATTTAAGAAAAAATATTAAATTATAAAATAGATATAGCTTTGTGATTCTGTTTAGGCCAGCAGAGAAGGCCTTGCAGGCCCTGACGGCCCGCCACTGACAGAATGTGGTAGAAACTACATACCAGAAGAATAAGTTGAGTGAGCTATGATAGCATCAATTATTTGAAGTCAATGTAATTTGTGGTGCTGTTAGATTGCTGCTAGACCGCCCCATTAATACAAGTGCGGTCTCCTGTGGTTGGAAACTGTACGTGTGTCTTAAAATGTATCAACATATAGTCATATCCAATTGTGTGCATGAGAGACGGCATGCAGAGAAAGGGAGCAGTCAGACAACAATTGGTGGAGCTTCCACTAATGACTGTTCCGGAAGAAACCAGGAAATAATTATACAGAGGGATGTGATCAGTGGCTCTTAAGGGATCCGGTGGGAGACAGGAACCCGAGGTTCATTAAGGTTGAAATATACCCACATTGAGGAGAAAATGTGAAGCTGTGTCTTAAAAAGGTTAGGTTTGGATTAATGAAGTCCATCTTTATACAATACTCACATGGTATATGTACGTTAAAAAAAGACTTATTGGTGACCATAAGGAAATGGTGAAAAAAGGAGGGAAATGCACCAAACTTTGGGAGTTCATAAATCAATTTGGCCAACTTGGAATGCAGCGTGAGGACTGTTTTCCCCCCATTCCTTCGCTCTATGAAGGGATCTCTTCATGGCCAGCATGGAAGGAAGGAAGGATTACAATGACCAATAAGTCTTACTATCTAGACACGGCATATGAGACAGACTTCAACATTTACTCACCACCAGATACGTCTTCTGGTGGTCCACTCCGGTAACATGGCTGATGATGTCCTTCTCTGGGATCTTCAGGGAGCAGCACTCACAGAGGTAGATGGGGTCATGCTCATCACAACTGCATTCGAGAAGTGCACCCAAGCCTAGAAGACGCATTGTTCACTATTAATATTCGTGTTTATATCATCCCCCTGACTAGAAATGCAAAACAATTAGTAAAATGTTATGTGGAATCAAAATATGACAAATAAAAGTGTATTTTTTCCCCTTCATTGCCATGGCTAAAAAGCCCACTCTGCTGAAAAAAAAGGCACTGACCAACCACAGGCTCTCGGCTCTTCCTCTTGACATACTGCCACAATTGATCCGCTTGTTGCTGGTCCACCTTAAAGGACGCTGCACCAACCACAGAGTTAGACATTGTTATAGAAACACTGAGAAAAATCTCCCACAAAAATGAAATGTGACATTTACATACCTTTGTCAGGAGTGGTCACCTCCTTTTGGCCGCTACTCGGCAGGTTTTGGGGTGCTCCTTTGAAGGTGAGCCGCTGCTTTTTTATTTCTTGCCCTACGTCCTCCACAGGACAGGTGTCCATCTGTGAGATTTCCCTCTTCAGCGTCAAGACACCTTTGCGGCTTTTGCTCCTCTCTTTTCCAATCTTGTTTTCGTCGGTGTTCTGGCAGTTTTCTGTAGCGTCCCCACTTGGTTTGCTGGCTGTAGGCTTTTCTATCTTCTCCTTTATCGCCTGGCGTGTCTCACTTTGCTTTTTCTCCTCTGAACTCATTTTAGAAAACGCCTCTCTTCTCTTCTCCGATTCTTTTTCGCTTGATGTCGGAGTCTCCTTGTCGTTCCCCCTTTCTGCATTTTCTCCACTTTTCAGACAGCGTGCATCAGGGACTTCAGCACCAACTTCTACGGTCTCCTTCAGTGTCGTCTCACTGTTGTCTGTAGATTTTTGACTCGTCGTTTCCAAACGCTCCTCCATCATCCTGCTGTTTTTCTGACCATCGTCTCTCACATGGGCCTTCTCCACATCTTTCAGTTTTTGTCTGGGGACTAAAAACAACAACATACATGACATTAAAAAAATGCATTTGATAATAATGATCAACATTGTTTTATCAAGTGGCCGCTCCGTAAGCAATACTGCAAAAGAAAAAAAATATGAAAACGAGTGGATTAGGTAAAGAAATTACTAATAGCGAAAAATGTAACTTTGTGATATTTTTCTTATATTAGTTTAAAACATAAAAACATGAACTGAGTTTGAAGATGTAACAGTTATGACGTCAAATACATCAATGTTTTGTGCTGCAGAGATATCTACTGTAGTGTGACCATATTTTGTAACCCCCAAACCGGGACCCTTAAGTGTATCGCACTTTCATGTACATGCTTATGCAGTTACTATAGGCGTTTTAATGAGGATGGGGGACAATTATTTCTGCATTTAGCACACCTAACTTACAGAGTGCACCTTTCAAAAACAGCAGACGAAAAATTATGTTTTGTCTCCAAGAATCCACTAAAACATAGTTTATTTGAAAACTGCATAATAACACTAGTAGACACAAAACCTAAAGGATTGCATTTGGTGTAACATATTATGATCGTCAGATAAAACAAAACAAGGTATTTGTTAGTGTGCACAAGCGCAGGCTGCTGACTACATGGAGGACTGTGACATCCTCTGTGTGGAGATATTTTATATCTCCTATATATACATGTTATGATTGATAACATTGTATGCAATATTATAGCAATATATTAGTATACATTTCCTCTTTGTTGTAAAATTACACACACTCTGGTATTCACAAATTAACTCTGTAACTGGACACACAAGTGTATATGGTTGAACCAGTGGAGTCAGCTCTTATCTAAATAGGGACCATATATGGAGATGTGTCTGGCATGCCTTTGCATTTCTCCCTGAAAGAATAAACAGTTTACCTCCAGGTTCAGACCTAAAGTTTAAACTGGCTAACATAAATGTATGGGCATAAAACTGATACCTCTGCTTCCAGCCGAACGGCAGCAGGAAGTGAAGCCGTAAAGGCTGAGGCCCTAAAGCACTCTGTGGTTTACGTAACCGACTGACACAATGCAGACTTTTATAGGCCTATTGTGGTTTTTACGCCTGACTGGAGACATTTTCTTCATTCTTTACCCATAGAGTCTAGTAAGTGGTATCTTAAAGTGTAATCTACATTTTTATTAGTATTGTGATTCATCCACATTTAGATTAATTTTGGTTTCAATTCTCAAGATGTAACCCAATGTGTTTCTATGTTTACTGAATGGTAAAAATAAGTAAAAAACGGGTAATCTTGGTTTAACTTACTCTGGCCTGATCGTCAACAGAGTTGGTATAGGAAACAGGTTTTGAGAGCAGATACTGCAACAATGGTAACTGTTTAAGAGAGATCCTGACTGGTGCTTCACCACTGAACTTCAAAGAACAAGTCTGTCATAGCTTATAAGACTACATGAAGAGCATCATCCAATCATTTGGCGATGCTAAGTTGTTAACGATATATGGATCTAGAAGTGAAAGATACTCCAAGTAAAAATCTATAAATAATGGAAGACAGCGGAGTATCAGGGTCTAAGCTTAGGCGTTTTTACTCCTTTGAATATTCTTTTTTTTTTTTTTTTTTACTTGTAATTCTCATATAATGGTAAACACCCAATATTCTTGCTCATCTCTGAGGGAGTCTGCTCGGTTACCTTAAGGGAAGAGAGCTCTCCTCCCGGGATAGGCTGACAGTTAAATAATTAGATGTAAATTTGAATAACAAATCTGCTACTTGCTAAGATTAAAATTGTGTTGGTTTACTTGTGCTTGGTGTCTCATGTGTTCACACTTTGTTGTTTCTGCACTGTACTTTTGCTCTGGTGTATGCTCTTAGATGCTTGTTTAAAGAAGGAGATGCACTTATGACTTCTGGTGACTAGTAGTTCTCTTGAATACCTATGTTGAATACACTTATTGTAAGTCACTTTGGATAAAAGTGTCTGCTAAATGACTGTAATGTAATTGAGATGCGTGTCTGTTACACAGATAAAGCACAAATTTAACTGCCACGGCCTGGAGCAGGATGTTCCAGTATACAGCCCCCCACTCTTAAATCACTCTCTGTATAACTCTGTGACTTTATCGCTGCAGTGCGCACTTCACCAGACTCATATTTTAACAGCGGGTAAAATAATTTAGCGCCACAGAACTCCAGAAATTAATATTACCATTTCCATACTGGTACTAGGGTCATATTACACATAAAACATCGACAGGACTTACCCAGCTTCATTCCCGGATGTATTGGTGGATCAAGGTTTGCTTTCCTTTCTCTCATATTTGCAGATGTCAGGATGTTTAATGCTGGAACAAAATAGTCAAGAAAACAATTCAGAGTTAAAGATGCCAATGTGGTACATTCATCGCATATATGTACACCATACATACACATACTCACCTATATAGTAGGTGCATGGCTCCCTGATTGGCTTGTTCAACTTTATCACCTTTGACGGCAGAAAATATGTAGTCAAAAGCATAAGCGCGTGGCTGGAGGAGATTCTACATAAAGATGGTACAGAAACTCAATTTCAGGTATAGAATACCTGCACATTTGATATGGAGTGATAGCGTGCTGCCACTTTTGCCAAGTCCAAGAAGGTCTCTTCATCGGTGTTTGAATTCAGCGAGCCTGGATGGAAATTGTCCTACACACACACACACACACACACACACACACACACACACACACACACGTTTTGTTTTTACCAAGACATAGTGACCTTGGAGAAAGAAGTGAGCCTGTAGTCTGCAGAGTACAGAACTGAATCATACACACATCACATTGGCTTATACACCAGTGAATCCTCCTTATAAAATACAACTCTTTTATAACTTGTGTAACAGACTATCATAAGCTTGCATCATGTAACTTGTGATCCATGCAGCTGACTGCCTGCACACATGTCCTCTTCTTCGTGTTAGATAACAACTACCTATTGTATATTCACATGTTCTATGCCTTAAGGATAAAACGTATGCATGTGTGTCTGTTGTTGCAAAGATAAAGCACTTCTTATACTTCTTTCACAGCACGGCCTGCACGGGATTAAACAGGCCCCCACCCTTGATCACTCTCTTTATAACTCTGTACGAATTTTGATCTGTAGTGCACACTTCTGCAGACTCTGAGTGGCTCTGTGTAACTGTGCCTCTTCTCTGGCCAGAGAATAATTACTTTTATAAGACAAGTTCTGTTTGACAACATTCTTCATTTCAGCTTAAAAAGACTCAACAGCGGGTAAATTAATTTTCCACCACAGAAGTCACTGTGTGCTCTGCTCTGCCTTGTACTATAATCCGTGCACATTGGTATATGTTTTAAATGGATGAATAGTGTAAGTCAAAAGTTATGGATCCACCATTCCCATGCTGGATAGCAAGCCTTGAAGTCTAGGCCTGAAGGCATCTACATGCCCATATTGATTTATAGTCATAACACCACCTACTGACAGGAAGTCAGTCTTACGTGACAAGGATCAACCGATTTACATGGTGTGGTCTAAACATGAAATACAGCAAAGTGATATATAATAATCATCTGCACATGTGCAGCTGTAATTCGAAATTTGCTGCCCAAACAAACTCTAATCTCATAGAAAATATATAAGAATATGTGACACAATGTGGTGCTCCTCCTGTCATTCCTACTGCAGTTCTGCCTTGATCTCCCATTCATCAAAAATGAATACTTTGATTAACAATATTATAGCCTGCAGACAATGCTTTTTGCATTGGATTTTTCCTGACATGACATTCTGCACTGTTTGTCTGCCTTTGCATAACACCCCAAATAATCACAAGACATACTGAGTGATAATAAGAGCATGATGGTAACCATTAATAGAAAATAATGCAATAAGAAGTGCGAGTAAAAATACTCACTATAAATGTCGCAATGTGTTTCCGACTGAACTCGTGAGCGTAACATTCATCATCTGACAACCTCCTCTTACAGAGCAGACACAGGAATCCCACCATGGGCTGTTGCCCTGCGACACTAAAGTCGTGCATGACCAGGAACTGTCTACCTGCAACCGAGGTAAAGAAAAGTCAAAAACACCGAGTGTGCACTTCTGATTTCTGTCAAGACCTTTTCTCTACGGCGGTACTCACCTAGTAGAGGAAATCTATCGTTGTCTTCGAGTTTACTGTATGTTTCACATTTTGGAACTGGAGACATTAAAACAGACAAACATGCACGAGTCAGATGAAAATAATCCATATATTATATATTTAAGGCTAAGAAAATATTTCATCACTTACTGTCATGCTTTAAGATAATGTGTTGTAGTGCAAGACTCTCCATCACTGCAGACGAAATCAAGAACGAGTCAACAAAAATATGTCAAACTGCTTCATGTTGTTTGAGTCGGCTTGATGGAAAGCATGACCAAAACCAGTTAAAATGAATCTCACAGAGCACATATCACAGGTAAGATGCAGTGAGCTCGTTCTCCCCAGCTATATCTGAATAATTACATGCAAGACCAATTCCTACCTTTTGAGTAACTACATGTGAGGAGTCCCTGAAACATCTCATTTGGCATGTCAAGTACCTGAGAAAAGAAAAATTCTCAATTAGTAATGACTATGGAAAATGATTTAGTCTACAATAGATGATTGCGGGAAATTAACCTTCTCATTAACTAGCTTTACTGTGGTTAGCTATTGCCGTTTAGACTGAATTTTAGTTTGCATGCTATGAAACTCTTATGATTGACTTTTGTTTATCTCTACACAGATATAGAAGAAATAGTGAAAAAAATAAACAAGTCTGTTAAAGTTCTTTGGCATTTTACCTTCAGCATCATCTCATCTGGTTTTTCCTTCTCCTCTTCCCATGCCATGGACCTCAAGACTTTCACGTCCAGACGATTCTCCCACGCAAGTGTCAGCCTCCAGGGATTCAGGTACAGCTAAGAATATAACACAAAGGCTATAGGTATATCCCAGGAAGACAGTTGTAAATTTACCATAATTCTGGGCTTTTTAAATTGCATGCAATGACAAAATACACCTTTGAAATGACTCATTATGATGGATTCCCAGGTTATATTGATACAACTGAATAAGAACACATGCACATCATGCATTAAAAAGTGGTTCTCTCCAACAGCAAAAATACAAGTCTGATCATATTGGCTCACAAAAAAAGTTAAGGACACCAAACACTGTTGCATCAGTACTTAAATATGTAATAATATTTTTTTTTAAATCTAAAGCTAAAAACAATACAAACACGTCTTTTACAATTCCTCACAAAACAAGTGTTAGTGCTGGCATCCACACACAGCTGCACCGGCTCGACAATAACGAAAATAAGCCACATAAATAAATTAAGGGCTCACCAATGTGTGTATGACATGTTTTTGAGAGTCAAAGTGCTGTCTGAGCAAGGAGTCAGTGAAACAGTCCTGACAAGCAAAGCACACATAAATAGGTTCCTTCTGGACCCGAGTGCAGACACACGTCACAACCAGGGGAACGCCTGAACAAACATATAAACAAAGAAAATTAAGATATGACAGATTTTTCAGTATAACAAAACACGATGTTAAGAAGCGGGTCTGCTCACCAACAAGTGGCTGATTTTGCCCCAAGCTCTCGATGAGGCTCTTGTATAAGCCCAGACTGGGTTTCCATTCTAACATTCAAAAGGAAAGAGTGTTAAGAGTAGGAGTTCAATAAATACCACAATCAATTACTTTTTTTCTTAAATTAATGAGTAAATTGAAGCTAAATCAGTTCTTTGAAAAATAGTATATCAATATGGTATGCTATCTTTTTGAATAGCCAACAGATTTAGATTTATGTATTTTCAGACCTTTTGACTAGTATTGGTTCAAAATAATTAAGTGTTGGCACTATTAACAAAAAGGAGAAAAGTGTACCTGGTTGGTCTGAATGTTCAGCAACTGTAGGAAAGTGAGGAAAAATATATCTTATGTAAAAGAGCTTAAAAATGATACATTCTGATTTATATATTATGATAAATAAAAGATAAGTGAATCGTACCTCCCCTAAAGATTTTCTTCACCATCTGAAGAAGAACATTAGGGACAGTATGTAAGGTCTTATTTTGTAGTACATCAGGAATAATCACAAATACTTTCTGTAGGAAGCTATGAAAATATTGATATACCTTTTTGTGTGTGTCCTTTGATGAATGTTTGCAATAGTCAGACATGTTCATAAAGCTCATACTGCAGTTCTGCCACCAGAAAAAAAACAAAAGAAAAGTGAAACAAAGTTCATTGTATCAAACAAAATTGTGTTCTTAATGTTCCCCAACAAAATAGATGGTATTAGGTACAGTATTAAAATCTAGGCTATTGTAGTGAAATGTAGAATTGTGATTTTTACCTGACAGCGGAGTTTGTACAGTTCAGAAGGAAGCCCTACAAAGAAAAAATAAAGCAAATTTAAGTTGTAATTCAAAATGCAAAAACATTTTCAATTTAACCATTTAAAAATAGAAGAAATTGATGTTTTAAGTTATTTATTTATTTTCCGAAATCTATCAAATGTCTGGCTACACGTGCTCTTGTGTCGGCCTCTGCAGGTCATTTGCCCCAGATGTTTTGAGTGTAACAAAACAAAGGCATGAACTGTATCTGAAAATTGTGTGAATGTGATTTAAAAAAAACTTTTTATTATTTCACTTAAGTAAAAGCAGTAATACTACAGTGTCAAATACTCTGTTACAAATAAAAGTCCTGCATTCAAATTATTACTAATTATTATAAAATTACAAAAGTACTAGCATAAAAATATACCAAAAGTACCAAAAGTGAAGGCTCTCATTAGACAAAATGGCCCATTTCAGTTCAGTCCTAGGTAGTTTAATAGTTCTTGTTGTGTAAACTTCATAATTAGTCATTTCGGAGGGGGGTTCCATTCATTTGTCTTGGCACGTCCCGAGACACTGTTTGAGATATATTGTATCATACTTTCTGTCATCTTTGTATGACTGATGTGTATATTGTAAAACCAAAATTAAAAGTCAGAAAATAAATAAAATACATACCCAACTTGTTCCCTGGTGTTACGCTTGTAATCAAGCTGCTCTCATTGTTTTCCTTTCTAATAGATTCCAGTTCCTTCAAAGCTACAATAAACCACAGGCTCAATTAGTAAATCATCATTCTTGGTTCCACTGAAGGTCCAGTTCATTCGGAGGAATACAACGTAAAGAGAGGCATCAAATAATAAATACCAACCATCTGCATAACAAGTGAAATTCACTGATGTGAATTTGGTAGGCTCCAGGCTCACTTGCTGCAACGAAAGTCATACGGTTTCAAATTAATACAAACAAAAGCAACAATGTGTGAAAACTTGTGACTTTGTAAACTATATTACCTTCATATCAGCGTTTGCAGTACCATGAATTTGCTCTGTCTGCTTTGCAAGATTAAGCATTGTGGAGCCGAAGACCGGCGAGTAAGCCTTGTAGGATTCCTTTGCCAGCAAAGTATGCGGGTGCCACGCTCTCTGCAGATTAAAACTGGTGTGAATTACACGAATACCACACAAGACGACAACCAATACGGATTTCAGTTGTTGAGGATTCATTACTCAACTTGACACCATCAGAAAAACAAAGAACTACACATCCCCTGTACTATCTTTTTAATTAGGATTCATTTTCTGCCTTACTTTTTGGAGCAACCGTGGCCTAACTAGTCATTTTGCCTGAGTAGACATCTTCTCAGAATCGTATGGTAATAATAGTTTCACAAATGTTCTCTTCATAGCTACTTACAAAGTAGCAGAAGACGTGGTCAAAGCTCAGGACATGTTTGATGATCGCATGGGCGGCCAAAGTTAGCTGGCAGAGAGTGCAGAGGTAGTGTCTCTTCTCCGTTTGCCCGACACAAATGCATTCAACAAGGTGCTGCATTCCTACAAGACCACGATCAGAGAAGAAACGGGGAAGAAGTTCAAAAAGAAAGCCAACAATGCGTTTCTAGCATGAGTATGTTTGTTAATTTAACCTTATGGATTGGTGAAATCCTTCCTTCGATCTATTAATTGGTATTATACGATTATCACGGTCAAGTAGTGACAAGGCAAGTTATACCATAAAAAAGCACTTCTCCAAATGAATTAGTGAATTAATTTAAATTTGTACAAAATTAAATAAACACTCTTCCTGTTCTCCGTACTTAAAGCTGGGGTAGGCAGTTTAAAATGCTGTAATAACCTTTCAGCATATTGTAATTCAAGTGATCTGAGAAAAAAATAGACTCCTGCATCTCCTCTTGGCTCGGTTTTCAGGCGTTAGAAAACATGTTTCAGGAGACTTTGGCCTAACATTTCAGGAAAGAGGTTGTGCGAGGAGATCCACCATTACCGACATTTATATAATTTGTCTTTAAAGGAATACAGAGACAGCCAAATGGCGTTGAACTCCAGGCAGACAACGTTATGGTGCATCACCGCAACCAATTGGAATAGAGCAGAGGTAGCCAACACGGTGCCCGCGGGCACTCTGTCGCCCGCAGGGACCACGTGAGTCGCCCGCAAGGCATGTTCTAAAAATAGCACTAGTCACCATGGAGCTCCGTCTAAAATTGTAGTTGTTCTTTTTTAATCAAAAAACGCTTGCATTAGTGTAGATTTTAAAATGACAATATTTCTTGTCATAAGAGAGTTGGGTACCCGGAGGCGCACGGCGGACAGCCAGGACAAGGCCGCCGCACTAGGTTTTCAGGTTCCGAATGGCGGGCGCTTCCCGTTGGCGCCAGACGCGCGCTGCGAGCGCACCCTGTCGTCAGGTCCGTAAATCCTCGGAACAGGCCGCGGGGCAACAACTCAGGGGTAGCGGGGGTAGAGGCGAGGCAACGCAATCCGACCGAAAAGGCCCAGACTAGAGGTTTGAACGCGGGCGCCCGAAGACGCTCTCGCGCGTCGGAGGGTTGGATCCCCCGCTCGGCTATGGACGAGACTGGTTACTAGTTTCTTCGTGGAGAAAAAGGTACCGTTGGAAAAGCTGGTGTCGGTGATAACAGACGGGGCTCCCGCGATGACGGGCCGGCATGCAGGCTTCATTGCGCAATGCAAAAGTGACCCAGACTTCGCAAAAATGTCTACATTACCACTGCATCATTCACCAACAGGCGCTATGTGCAAAAGTAACCGGCTTTGATCATGTGATGATACAAAAATATCAGAGATGTGATACCTCTGACTTTCAAATGTTGAAACAGATTAACAGAAATAAAAGTTGCATGTTTAAATATGTATGTGTAGCTATACCATCATTGTTGTGGAAATCATTCTTAATAATTATTGTGAGGAATAATTAACTGACATGTGATCAAACAGTCTCTTCACATATATGATTATTATTAAAAGGTGATCTGTGCAACTTTGTTATTCAGGAAGTTTGTATCAAACAAGTAGCCCTTCGTACTACTCGGTACTCTTGAAGTAGCTCTCAGTTTAAAAAAGGTTGGTGATCCCTGGAATAGAGGGTGGATCTGGAAATGTGCAAGTGTGGAACGGCAGACCGATGCGGACCCTCACTTGTGGTATGAATGGAGACGCATCCACAGCTGTCTGTGGAAAGTATGTTTGAGGATTTATGACTGCAAGGGAAGAGCAGCAGGAGGAGGGCTGGATTTTCAATCGTAAAGTTTTTTTTTGCCTTTGGCCAGAAAACTGCCTACCCCAGTTTTAAGGAAACCATCTTCCACCATTAAAGACAATGTCCCTACCAGCTGAATTTTGCATCCAAAGAATTACATTTTGGGAGACATTTACTGACCAAGAAGTGGATGTTCTCTGTTGCTGTCTCTTTGGTATGTTTGCATCATCACCCGCTTTGGCTTGATAGCTAGAGAGAAAACACAAGATTGCAGCGATGAAGCATGGACTGAAGGACAATAAATAGTAAATCTAACAGATACACAATATATTGAGACATCATCATACTCACCAAAAGGTCCATTAGTAGCTGTTGTGAAGCTTTGGATCATATCACAATATTAACATCAATAGATAAGAGTTATTCCAGCTGTCATTGGATTGTAAATGCTCAAATTTCCACTAAAATGTGGATAATTTAATGTTTGAAAGAACCAGAACAGCTACTAAATGGACCTTGAGGTGAGAACGTTTTCTTGACTGCTGTAGCAAGGTGGAGTGATTATTACAAGTCGAACAGACTGATTAAGCACTGCTTGATTTTGGTTACTGAACTCCATAAGTCCTGACTACACCATGAGCAGAAATAAGAGTCCTGAGAGAAATGTGCACACACCTTCAAGCAGCTTGAGAAGCGTTTCATTTTCACTTAAAGTGCGCATCACTGGGGAGTAGAATCAGATCATGTGAATTAAACAATTTATTAAAATTCTCAATCAAATATTACATAGAGAAAGACTCGTATACCTTCAGAGTAGGAACTTGTTTCATGCTTTTTCAACAGATTTCCAGGTAAGTCCAACAGCTGCAAAGAGGAAAAAATGCTGAAAATACATAACTTCCTCTAAAAATCTAATCTGAAAAGGCATTCATCCCACCAACAACAGTATTGTAACACAGTCTCTTGACATGACACTGCTGTGTAACTATAAAAACAATAAGAAACGATGGGGTAGTGGATTGAACTAGAAAAGTTGGTATGTCCAGGCGGCAACCTTCGGTTCTGCCGAGTGAAGCCAATGCGGAAGTGTCTTAAAACCTGCATTCTCTCTAATGGCCATGAGAGGGCAATTCCTCCAGTTGCAGAAAGTCCAATTGTATGGAAGTCAATGAGAAAATTACCCTACTTCTTACTTGATTTTTTTACCTTAGTAAACATGAGTTTATGGTCTCAATCGCTAGTTTCAAGTCTTTATCTATACAGCATGATGTTCCTTTAGGAAATGGTCCATTTTAGAGTCAAATAGACCATAGAGCGGAGTATACTTTAGGGCGGGCTTACTGTGATTGACAGGTCGCTGCCGCTACCAGAGCTGTATACGGCGTCTCTACGTCACTCCTCTACATTCTAAATATGGTAACTTCCATTCAATGGTTGCAAAAAAACTACAACATGGCGACGGCAGTAATCCACAAACCAATGAGTGACTTCACGACAACTACGTCCTATTCTTATATACAGTCCTTGACAATGAGAAAAAGCATGACCATGCAACCGTACAAATAGAAACATGTCAGTGTCGTGTTTACAGCTGTTTCAGCTGCACCAAACATAGTAGCACCTTTTAAGCCGGTATGGTTGAACGTGGTCAGCAAACTGTTTCTCATTTACAGATCCATCAGTTACAGAGCAACGTTAGCATTCATTTGGAGTCGTGTTTGTAAACATCTGACAAACACAGGTCTAAAATTGGGTTCTTTTTAGCTCCGTTTTAGTCTCCACCAACTATTGAAGAAAATATCCTGCTCTTTAGATGCTAAATGCTCGACTACGTTCACCAGCAAGTCGCTAACTTTGTTGTTTGCGGTTTGGTAATAAGTATGTACTGTACAGAGGTTTGAGAGTATTATTACTGAGAAAAGTGATGTGATGCTGCGGCTAAAAACAAAACAGAGAGCTGTTAGACTAAACAAAAACAGTAAAATTTTGGGCTGGAAAACCAAAACAAATAGCTGAAAGACACAAAGAAGCTCCATAGAGCCGAAGGGCTGGGTGATAATTCTTTGTGGGATTTCTCTTCGAGCGACCCCTTTCACATACAAATAGTGATGCGATCCATAATCATTGAATTATCAATATACTTTCAAATTAAAGATTCCAGAACTCCAGGTACAAACCTGTAGTTGTCCGCCACTGCTTTCTTTTACTCCATGTCCGACCTGGGGCCTCAAAATGTCTTTCACATTGTTGCTGGGGATCCAGGAGAACCTCAGTACATTTGGGTTTGTGTGGCTCTAAAATACAACATACCAATTAAATTGTGCTTCCAAATTTCAAACATTGGTTCACTTTTATGATATTCTGCACTTACGGAGTAGTTTCTGCAATGGTCAATCGATGTGAGGTGGGATAAAATCCTGCCTGATGGACACTTTTCCTCACAGAGATGGCACAAGTAAAAAAATTTGTCTGTCTCTCGACTGAAACACAAAGTCAAGCCTGGAGGAAATAGAATAATTACTTCAAACATAATCTTTTACATCTTCACCAGTACCATACATGGTACTGGTTTCATACTGGTTCACAGGTTTACGTTTGTTTTAATGCCCGACACTTTACAAATTCTATACATTTTAATTAGCCACATAAAACCTGTATTTTTGATAAGTCAAATATTACGAGGTCATAAAAACAAGCATAGAAAATAAATAAATAATATGTCCTTTTTCCCCTTCAGCTATTATCACAGTAAACAATCCTGTGTCTGCATAGATTTCTCGTTGGTTGTTAAATTAAAGGTTGTGCTCTCATGTTGAAAACAATATAATTATGTTGCTGCACTCATTTAGAACTCAAGGTTCGGTTAAACTAAAATTGATTGAACTGAAAATTGAATGACATGTGCACAAGGTTGCCCTCTTCCTCATCATATCGTCTTCAAACTCTGCTACAGCAAAGGCCAGGAGTGGTTTGTCTCCTGATGGGATACATGAGAGAAAAAGGTCAACAACCATCCAACTTAAAGACACTTTACTAACCTGTGAGGGGTTGTCTGATTTCTTGTTTGGCTCGCTGTCTGACCAATGCAATAAATGGAAAGTTGCCTGTAGAGTAGATAACAATGGAAGAAAAGATTATTAAGCTTGAGCTACTCAGGACAGCACATGTGACATCAGTCTTTAAATAAACAGGTTGAGTGATGAAATTTAGATTAGTTAATAACTGTGCATCGTTATTTGAACCATGAGCATACACAATGGGCTAAAAGTGTGTTGTGAGTCTAAATAATATTAAAGGGTGTTTGGCTTGAAGGTGGTACGAAACTAATTAATATAAACATGGGAAATTATGCAAAAAGAATATTTTTAAGTCAAGATTACTCTTGGCTGAAAATTTTGTGCATTGAAAAAAATGATGTGACAATGTGCAATGGATTCAGACCGCCGATCTGTTTTGTGAAGTTGAAAGACTTTAATCTTCCTAAAATAAAACGCATGAAAAAAACATATTTCCATCACGCCTTCTACATTATCATAGTTTGAGGATTGACGGGTGCTCTTTTAATTATGTCATCTTGTTTCGCAATGAACCATCTCCTACTATCCACACAACAGTAATGAATGAAAACACTAATTAATTGGCATTTTCTTTTACAGATTTTTAGGAAAGTCGGTTAAAATTTGCACTACATTGAAACCAGACTATAGAGAGGGACGAGACAGGCTGAATCACACAAAATAGTATAACACTTCCTCCCTTAAGATTAAAGTGGTGCCACACTGTTCAACACACAAGCCGTTGTGAAAAAAGAAAAGAAAAAAAAAACGAGAGAAAATGTTCAGCATGAGATTTGTTAGCATTGGCGCTTAAATGAAACAGGAATTTTTGCTGGAACCCATCGCCTTTGCTTACGCATTGCAGTAAGCAAAGGCAGGAAAGAAGAAGTTAGTGGGGAATATATGGACTGTAATGGATATTTAATATTCTTATAAGCAAACTGTTTTATAACTTGTTACTATCACAAGCTTGCATTATATAACTTGTGATCCATGCAGCAGCTGACTGCCTGCACACATATCCTCTTCTTGCTGTCGAATAAAAAGCACTTATATGCACATCTTCTATGCCTTACGGATAAAACCTATCTGTGTCTGTTGCTCAGATAAAGCACTTCTTTTACTGCCACGACCTGGAGCAGGATGTTCCAGTACACAGCCCCTCACTCTTGATTACTCTATACAACTCTGTGTGACTTTATCTCTTGAGTGCGCAATTCTACAGACTCTTTGTGACTCTGTATAACTGTGCCTCTTCTTGCAAGAATAAATAATTGAAAAAGACAAGTTCTGTTTCACGATATTCTTCATTTCAGCTTAAAAAGACTCAATAGCGGGTAAAATAATGTTCCACCACAGGACGTAAACAATGCAGGTCTCAATATTTGAAAAAAGAAAAGAAAATGAATTATGTCTGTTAGGCGTCAAGGATGCATTTGAGTGAGTCACGCTGAATGTAAACACAAACATTATTCAGAAACACCAACCATACAAGAAGAAGAAGAAGCAGGCTTACCCGAACCCTTGTAAATATCTAGAAAGTAAACAAAAATGATTCATTAACTGGAAATAAAAATCTGAGTAACACAAAATATTGTGCAGGTAACAAGAAATACAAAATGCCATGAAAGATGAAAAGTAAAAAAAACAAACATTACCTTGCTTGAAGACGTCAGTGCATTTCTGTTGGTAAAGAAGGGAACATGCAGAGGTGATTTATTAAGGTCAAGGCCAACATAGAAACAGGACCATGGGGATGGCCTCATGATACAGGATTACATGCACCAACTGAGTCAAACACAGGACTAATGTTCAAGACACTGATGAACGCTTTGAAGTAGCAGATAGGATGATTTTTATGTACCGACATGGAATAATCACATTTCATATATGTCTTATACCTTTTATAGATCTATTAATACTCATTACAGTTAAGGCTGACGTTATTGTATTTGTGCCTGATAGTGAGGCTATCACAGGTTCCCCAGGCGTACGTGTCTGTGTGTGCGCGCATCGGGGCAGAAGTCCGCCGTGCGCGATACAGAGAGCAGAGGAGAATTGTAAATGCACGACCATGTAGAGACAGAAATTACATGCCGTCGTGCAGATAAGATAAATAACACAAGGCTATTTAGTTTGTTTAATAAAAGAACAAGGTATATACCTGTTCTATAGGAAAGGTAACCTTAATTGACTTCTGTTGTGATCTGGCACGATATAGAAAATAAAATTTAACAAAATTAACTTGAACTTCAAGGGGGGGGGGGGGGGGCCCCCCCCCCCCCCCCCTAATATAATGGTAGGGGAAACACTGTCTAATATTCATGTGTCATGTCAGAACAGAAGCCCCAGTCAAAATAATATGCCATTTATGTTTTAGGACCATCGTGTCTGATATCAGTTACATGTATTTTGTGATGTCTCCACATGTGTGAATAAATGCTCCTGAATCAAGATTGGACTTGTTGCCTGAATAAGTTGAACTTCCTTGTGCCTGTGACCTCAGAACGATCCCTTGAGTAGCCATCAATGTAGCATTCCACTTCTGATTCAGGTAGTCTGCGCTCTTGGCCCAGGCTCATTATGTAGTGTTCTGTAAATTGCTGTGTGAAAATGCTGACGTGCTCAGAAACGAAATGCATTGAAACATAATCTGAGAGTGATCCTCGTGAACCATAAGTATTACCATGTTTCTCCTGTGTGTCTGTGTAAAAGTATCCACTTTTGCTTAACGCTGCATGACAACCGCTGCCAGGATGTAAAGGCGGAAGAGAGAGCAGACGTTTCATCCGCAACAGAAATGGCGGAAAGTTGCTAGACAGATGGAACATCCGTGTTTTATACCAGATAGGAGGAAACAATAAAAGCATAACTTGTTCCACTAACTAAGCTGGGGCACGGCAGGAAGTGGTGAATTTTGTAACGGGTGTTTCACCAGTTTAGGGGTTCAAAGTAGCAAACGGGAAAACTGCTTCATTGCACAAACATTTGAGTTTACTTTGGTTGGTGAATGGTTCAGGCAGCGAATTCTGTGCCAACTCCAGAAAACACTCAGTAACCTGGTAAAGTGCACATGAAGTTTGATGCCCACCTGTTGATGTGCACGTGAGGACATGTGTCGTTTCAAATGACACACCTTGCAAAATGTGCTGAGGCAGACCTACGAGGAAAAAAAGAAAAAAGGTTTCATCAGCGACATGAAATAGAAGAACGGACATTTGTTTACATGAGTCAAGATTTGCGGATAGTATTTAGTTTTTCGCATTGCATACCATGACAAAAGAACACAGCTGTGTTGCAACATCCCCCCGTCTGATCCACAATTCAAAAGCACAACCAGAGGTGAGTGGAAAAAGTGGACTGACCCTGCGACACCACAGATCATCCTTGAGACAGGGGTAACCTCCTCTTCATATAGGACGTGACCAGTACTCCTTACATAGTTTACATAACAACTGAACCATCTCCATCCACTGATGAAAGCCAAGTGTTAGGCTGAAGGTTTTTTGTAACTACACTACATCTGCTGAGAGGATGTTGGTACTTCAACTAGCACCATCTTAGTTTAGTCCATTAACATGCTAACACAACACAAAGTACAATTTTGGCTCATTGGAATGTCAGTTTGGCAGGTGTTTTAGTCACAAACCAAATTTAAATCAAAACAATGTCTCCAGATGAAAAGTCAGAGGATCACCAAAATGAATACAATTTAGGCTTTTTGTCTGACAGTTGAGTACGTTGGATGTTTCTGGCCCTCTCTGGCATCTTTCAGTGCAGATGTCCATCATGGACGATGGGCTGATACCGGCGATGCTTTCGGCAGTTTTAACTTTCTGTTGTGAAGCCTTCCTGTTGGCAGGAGACCTGTTGCTCTACTACGCAGCATTGCAAGATGTCAGGATGATCTCAATGGGACCAGAGGGCACCCGGGTCACAAATAAATGAATAAAACACAGTGCAAGTTAAAGAAAATGTGACTTCAAATAATGCTGCAAAAACAGTTAAAATAGCCAGCAAATAGATTGTTAACAAGGGCACGACACCCATCCAATGTCTTCTGGGAAGCTTTTGAAAAAAAAAAAAAAAGAAAAAACAAATGACATGTTTTTTCTGTTTGTTTGTTTTAAATCAGAGTCGTTTGAGTAACATTTTGGAGATTATAGGATCCAGTGTTTTTGGAGTTTTACCCACAGAGACTATTCTATGGAAGCCCATTTCTGCCAGCAAAAAAAAAAATATATATATATATATATATATAATTTAGAAAGTCGGTTTTATTCTTTCTACGCCAGAGCTTGAAAATCCTTTCAAGGGTGTGTTTGTTTGGTACAATCCCATGTGAAACAGCAAGCAATTGAAGTATTTCATCTCTGTCTTCAATGTACTCACAATCCATTCTATGTCAAATGTAGGGTAACCTATGCCAAAGAGCTGCTTCTATGACTGTTGTTTTCTTATAATTTCGACTTTCTATCTCATAATTTCAGTTTTTTTTTTCTTGTAAGATTTATTGACATAAATGGGCTTCCATACTATGCTGCTCCAAATCTGCCTATTTCTTAAATCTGGCTCAAGAGTCTCACAACTTCATGGAAGTATTAAAATTGCTTACCACTGTAAGAAAAATGAATCAAAAATAATAATTTCATTATTTTGCCTTTACATTAACCATCAATTGGTTTATAGATTTGCAAAATAACTTTGACAAATCTAAGTTATTTCATGCGTTTTAGTTTACAACACTAAAGTTGATTTCTGTCCAATATGTTGCAGAGGGCTGGAATGTTTCATTTCAGTTGTTCTCTATGGCATCGAGATGCAGCGATTACATATCTGTACCGCGCCTCACTGATTGTAAGCGTTACATTTACACACCCATTTCCTCTAAAACACCAGCAGCCCCACGCTCAGATATCCACCCTTGTTGGCCAAAGCGTTAAAAGGTTCAGCGTCAGCGGTCTATACAAACTTATTTTCTCGCCATCCTCTAGCTGTATTTGGCCGTGCAGATAGTTTGGGTTTAATCTGCTTCAGGACATCCGAGATTTCTGCCTCCAACTTTTTTTTTGGAGACGCATTAAAAAAACAAAACAAAAACAAACAAACATTGTGACCCAATTCGTGTGCATAAATGAAAGAATAGAACACACACGGCACACATTTCACCCTATTAGGTAGCATTTAGTTTGAGCAAAGAGTCATACAAGCACATGCGCGCGCGCACACACATGTTAAACAAGTGCTTTTTGCTTCTGCGCATCAACTTTAGTTGGACTCAAGCGGGTTCAGTGTTCTTGCGTCTTAATAATCGCCACAAACCGCCAACAAGTCTCATTTGCTTTCATTCTCTACGTAACACGAGTTGTTTCTCTGCTCACACAGATGCGTGTGGATATCAGAACTAAAGCTGCAAACCACAGATAGCAAAACCAACTTCGCATGCGTAAATACCACACACAACTGCGCATGCGTAAATACCACACACAACTTCGCATGCGTAAATACCACACACAACT